TTTCTGGGGAATAATATATATAATATGGGTACCCTCTGGTAAACTAACCTAACAGTTTGCTATGGAAGCCATGGCCCATAGAAATAGATGGTTTACCGAACTTAAAATTGGTGATTTTCTATAGCTATGTTAAATTACCAGAGGGTACCATTATTTTGTTCATCATAAATCATAAACCATTGATAACCATCCCATTATATTCCAGTAACTTTCTGCGACCTCATTGTAATGCGCAGCATAGCCATATTTCAGATAAGTGAATTACTATAATTTGCCCAGATATATTGTAACATCATTCAAAGATTTTGGATTTGATGGGATTTTTTTAAAAAAAAATATATAATTCCATCATTCCCATAATTATATCTATGGAATTTACCCTCTGGTAAACTAACATAGCTATTGAAAATGGCCATTTATAGTGGATTTACCCATGAAAAATGGTGATTTTCCATAGTTATGTTAGTTTACCAGAGGGTATAAGGACCCCCCATGATGGTAGCCCAGGGGCCCATGTTCCACCGAAACAGTGCCAGGTCTCTCCATCAAGATCAAGGAGAGGTACTCGGTGGAAGTCACGCAGGGAATTTTCGCCCCGTTTCTGCAGTCATCAATGGATGGTTTTTGTTATGGAAAAACCATAAAAAAGCGGATGATTTTTTGGGTGTAGCCACATTTATTTGGAAACCTCCAAATGGTTATAAAGGATTTTAAATGGTTATTAATGATTTTAAATGGTTATAACTGACTTATAACTGGCAAAGGGCAATAACTGTAGGTTGAAAGGAAGTACGCACCATCTGGTAATCAATCCGAATGCTCCAAGAAGTTCAATGACAGTACAACGGAAGTTCACCCCCAATTTACCCTCTGGTAATCGAACATGGCCGATGGTCCAGCTGATGACAGCTGCAGACGACGTTGATCCCATGGTTTTTTCCACAGACGTGTTTTTTATCACCCTGTAATAAAATCCATGAATTATATTATCCCATTGTAGGCTCATTAATAATCCAGTTGTTATAGGTTTACGACTCCAGTAGCTAGGGACTATCGTAAATGTCTCAAACTAGTTTCATTCGGGTGAAAAACCAATACAAAATCATGATGGAGCATCACCAATGATCATCCCATTGCAATAAATCCCATTTTATATTGTCATTATTATATGTTACTGTATCCATGGAATTTATAGGGAACCCCAATGGCCAATGATGGTTCCCCTATTTCCAATTCCAGTATTATCATTGTGATAATAACCATAAACACACACTAACCCCATTGTAATCCAAATTTGTACAACACCATCAGAATCCCATTATCATCCTATTACAATCACGTAATGATCCCATTCTTATAACATCTTGATATCCTCATATTACAATATAGACACCGATCGAAATTATAGTGGGATACAATCATTTTGAATATCAATATAATATTATTATCAGTGTGATGAAAATGTTCGGATCAAAATCATTTGCTATAGAAGCTAATATCTATTTCCATTTTGATTATATTTGTCATTGGATTAAATCACTAGTCTCTACTAACAAATGTATTTCCATTATTTTGTCAATCATCATAGTAACGTTAATACCTGCTAACTATAATACCATGATAAAAACCCATAAATTATAGAAACTTATATATGTTTCCATTTTGATTGAAATACATGGAAACAAAAAAACATTCTTATCATATCCTATGATACCACCTACAAACTAATACCAATGATTTTCAACATCTATTGATGGACATCAAAAGTTCGGATATACTAACGTAACATGTCTACAAACACTAATGGAATACTAGAAGGGCCATAACTGTAATTGGGATAATTTTTATATATCCCTTAATAATGACTGGATATATTATAAACACTCATTGGATATACTAACTGATGATAATTCCAGTTAGTATATATAATTCACTGAGTTAGTTTAATTCCACTGATGATAATTCCACTGATGATATCATTCTGATGATAATTATCATATACACTCATAATGATCACTCATATCATAATGTTACTTGGAACTTTCTGATGATAATTCCACTACTCGGTTAGCGCCAGGACGAAGAGATGCAACTCCTGGCCGATGCCTTGCACCCCACCGCGCCCATCCTACCAGCTGTGGTGCCACCCCCGATGCCAGGCACGGGAACGCGTGGGGTTTCCCGATGGGAACTGCAAGGCCCAGGCCCCAACGGATGGGGATGGCAACGAGCGAAAAGTGCAGTTTAATAATTGTACAAACATTATTCAAAATTCAAAGCTCTGTTTTTTTTTTGGTTTATAAGTTGTTTTACTAGGGTTTAGGGATCTTGACCAGAAAAATGGGGCCTGAGTAGCAAGACTTAAGGGATGTTTTGAGATTTTACTAGTGAACGTGGTGTTTTAAATGTTGTTCAATCATTGGCACTAGTGCCAACTCGGCCACACCTTCAAACCTTGCCGCAAACAAACACACGTTTGATATCCAGAACTTGACGGCGTGCTCGATCAAGAGTCCGAGAATATACATATATATATATATACATATTTATATATATATATATATATGCATATAATATATGAACATAGAAATGTATGTATTTGTGTATATAAATAAATATATATATATATATCTCTGTAATATGATACATGCAAGGTATGTATTCACCATTTACAAGTCCGAGGACCCCTACATGTTGCCAGGTCAGCCAGCCGCACCACCAGCGCCCGAAGGGGAACAGGCCCCTTTTATGATGTCGTGGGAAGAGACAGCCAAGATAGACACCAAATATGGTGATATGTTGGGATACTGTATATTACACATAATATATATATATACATATATATATAATGAGATATTAGTGGAATCTAATGACAATCAATGAAGGGCCCCCCTAGATAGATAAGTTGGTGAGCAGTTTACTCCAATAACTATGGTTTATGATACATATAAATATAGTATTCATGTGGTTTCTACACCAACAAACATAACTGGGGAGCGCCACATTGTAGGATTGAAAAAGTTGAGCGAATTGAGAGAATGCAGGAAAAACTTAGGAAAATGGTTTCTATAAATAATTGGGTTAAACATTGTTGAGGGCTAAAATAAGATGATTTTCCAGTTTTTATTGGAAATACGGGTATCTAAACAATTACATTTCGATTTATGTTCTCACCAACAAGAATCCGAGTTTATTTCGAACCGATTCAACATGATTTAACCTTTATATTTGCCGTAGTATGCCGGGCGTCGGGAACCTTGAACAAATCGCCAAAAAAACAAAGAAACATCAATGGTTTAACCACATCAATGAGGTTTGCTGTATTTTTGCCGACCTAAGCAGATGTTTAAACGGCATTTTGTGGGATATGAAAAAACTGCTTGGTGATTCCGTCATTGGAAACGAGAGATGTTTGTCATTTCATGTTTGTTGTTTACACATCCCACTTTTGGGCAACCACTTGCCTGACCTCTGAATCCATGTGGGCAAAACATACATCTCTAGTAGATAATTAAAGTGGACAGAAACAAGAAATTATATCTCAGGTTTGGGGCTATGGTTGATTGAATATGAGCCCATAAATGTAGTTTGAAATGAAACTTAATGACACAAAAAATGGATTTCACCCATTGAAATGAGGATAGACTCAGCAAATTAGGAGATATCGAAAGACTTGGTAGCAACTTGCTGGACACTTAGGATTTCGGCTGGTTGATGATGAGATTAGATCCAGACTGGACCCCATTTTCTGGCCAACGGTTTGTAAACATTCTCTTATTGTCAGATCCCCTGGCAACGCTAAATTCCACATGTAATAAGATGTAATAACAATGTGCATCCATTTGAGCAATGTTCAAAACCCTTGTTGATTCCGCAGGATTTATACTAGCCAATAGCTGCGGTATAAGCCGGAGACGATCATGATCCATCATAATCCATGATGGGAATCCCTCGTCACCAGGCAGCACAATCCGGGATGACAGATGGTATGATTTTTGGCATGAAATTTACCCTCTGGTAATTTAACGTAGCTATTGAAAATGGCCATTTAAAGTGGATTTTCCCATTAAACATGGTGATTTTCCATAGTTATGTTAGTTTACCAGAGGGTACCAGTGATTTGAAATTGTGTTATCCCACGTTTGTTGCTTAAATCACCATCTACTTGTTGACTGTTGACTGGTATCTCGTTCAAGCATATAAATGGAAATTTAACATAGATATTGAAAATCATCATGTATAGTACATAGGTAAATGATCTACTAAATTTGCCACTATAGCCATGCAAGAAATTGCCCGCGGGTAATTCCTATGTCTGTTCCCATTGTCGATATGCTTAGATTCCCATTAATCACCATAATAACAACATAAAATCAGCATAAATGACTGGTATTGTTGAACTTTGGGAAGTAAAGAAACGCCACTCACATGGGTCATGGGCAGATTTCGGGCAGGTGTCGAGCGTTTCAGTTCTGGGCATTGTCGGACGTTTCAGGCAGACGTCAAGTCACTGGATCCGGGAAAATCTACCCTCTGGTAAACTAACATAGCTATTGAAAGTGGCCCTGGAAATAGTTGATTTACCCATTAACAATGGTGATTTTCCATAGTTATGTAAACGTTTACCAGAGGGTAATGTCTATCAATTTGGTAATGGGTATACCACCTTGATCCCAGCCTCATCAGCTGATCTCTTCCCATTTCGTCAAGGTGTTGTACTGGCAAGCTTGAAATCTTTGGGATTTGTTTGCATGATTTGTATTGATTTGTCTTATGCAACCAAAGCACTAGATGATACTCGATGCAGGCTTGATCCAGTTTGATCTTTTCCAAAGGCGTCTTCGTGATCACATCGTTAGCATTCAAGGCTTCTGCCCTGTCCCTTCAGATTCCAATGCTGATTTCTGAAGAGTAAAACATGATGTTGAATAAGGGAAGGCCTAGTTCGTCGTTAAAACCCATACACGAAAAAAATGTCAACTAGGTCAGTCACTCCAAGTATGCCAAAGGGCAAAGTGGACTTTGGGTGGAACATTGCCATGGGTGGCATCCCCCTCTTCCTCACTACTGGCCCTGGCTTTGGAGAGGCTGAGGTGTACCACATGCTGAACATAGCCTATGGGAGCCTGAAGCTGACAAAGCACTTGCCAGGCTTTGAAGGCTTCCAGGTTGACAGGATCATTGTCTACCCACTTCTCCTGCACAGCCTCAAGAACTATAGCACCATGAAGTGGGAAAGCCCACCCACAAACATCTCAGCAGCCAAGAAGAAGGAAACTGCATTAAAGGCCTTGCTGAGAAGGCTGCAGCAAGATCAGTTCCTGGGGCATGGGGGCTACAGAGTGGAAGCCAGGCTGTCAGGCCATGGTGACCCCAAAGAATGCCTTCACCAGTTCATGGCTTGGGTGAACCACAGGAAATCCTTTGAGGCCAAGGTGCAAATGAAGGTGATCAGCTTGGATGAGTACCTGGCCACAGCCACCAATGCTGTGAACAAGTGGGGCTCCATGTTGAACAGGGACAGCAGGCTGGAGCTGTCCACAGGGCACCCAATTGTGGATGGATATCGGAAAGCCCTCAATGCCCTAGGCTTCAGCCTGGAGCCAAAGCCTTTCCAAACTTTGATTGACTTGGTGGGTGGCAGTCATGGTGATGGGCCTGCTGAGGCCAGAACCCCAGATGCCCCAGCAGCACCTCAACCAGCTGGGCCTGCAGATGAAGCCCCAGATGCCCCAGCAGCACCTGAACCAGCTGGGCCTGCAGGTGAACCTGTGAAGCTGGAACCCCAAGCTGGGGAGAGCAATATGTATGACTTGGCTCTGCTCCCTGGAGTTCCTCCTGGTACTGCCTTGAGGCCATTACCTGATCCAGACTGTGAAGATGGCCACATTCCTTATGAGTCTTGGGACACTTCTTTGAAGGTTGTGTACCAAAGGTACCCCAAAAGGATCACCTACCAGAAGGTAGGCGGGAAATATACACATTCATCGAAATCACCCACCTGAGGTGGTTTTGTTGCGGAAGGCTACATCTTTTGACTCCTTCCGCATGAGTAGTATAAAAATGGCACTCATAAATCCCTGATTTGTAGATGATTAATACCCTCTGGTTATGACTAACATAGCCACGGTATAGATGGCCCATTTTTTAAAGGTTTACCTATTAATAGCATGGTGATTTTCCATGGCTATGTTAGTCATAACCAGATGGTACCTTTTCATGATGGTGATTGGTATGCCAAGTTTGGTGGCTCAGGCGCGAACAAAAATCTGGCTCATGACATCCCGCCAATGCCGGTTTGGCGGTAAAATCACCTTCCAAGTCTTGTGGCAATCATTTACATTAGTGATTTTAAACTTGGAAGTAGCAAAACATTAGCTTGGAGTACATTTATTCTCATTAAATGTACATTAGCTATGTAAAATCACCTTCCAAGCTTGGAGTAAGCCTGAAACACCGAGAATTTTGTCTTACCCTCTTGACCTGGACATACCTGGACCCATGTGAAATACCCGATGCCATGGGATCTAAATCTGTACAAGTCCTATTAGTTCTTAGTAATTATGTCCCGAAGAGATGTATATGTAATTGTATATATATATATGTGTACATACATGTTGTGATTGAAAATTTCGTAGCCCCCAACTCCAATCATTTATTAGCATTATCCCATAATTAAATGGTGATATGGAGGTTTAACCGCATGGTGTGCGGGAAAAAAACTCTCGGAAGGTATTTACCAAACAGAGTCCTGGGCAAGTTGAGGGCCCGGGATTTGGTTTCCCACCTGCAGATTTATTTCTTCCCATGTCATATCATTGATATTCCAAGTAGAACCTACCAAGTATATTCTATATACCCATATAAATATGTATCCCCATTACCAGTTAATTATAATATATTCGAAATGTACATCCCCAGTGTTTCTTCGACCAATTCGACCCAATTTAGCACAGTTGGCTTGCCAGGCTATTTGGCCTGCGGCCTCTGGAACCTGAAGAACTCTTCTGGTGCGCTGTGCAAGCGCATTTGCTGAGACGACCAGACCAGTGCTTTGGCAAAAACATGAATGGCCTGGTGATTTTCAGAAGGTGACTTAACCTTACTTATATAATCTTATATATATATTATCATAAATAGGTGATTGTTTGTAGTTTTTTGCTGGTTTTGATGGGATGTAATGGGATATTATAGGATATTAACGGGTATAAAACAACCATTGGAACCCACCATAATGGACTCAAATCATGGTTTTAGCAAGAACGGTGTGGATTTTTCGGCAACACAAAATGATGGATCAACGAGTTGCTTAATTGGAATAGGATGGGGATATGATGGGATGTGTATTTCGCCAGCTGTATGGGATATGGTTGTGTATGCCGCTGTCGGGTCGCTGATATTTTGTTTTGTCACATCCAGATGTTCAGTTTGAATCAGGTATAGCAACTCAGCAGCAACTCCCAAAAAAAGGAAAAAGTTGGACGCATGAAAATCGTGGGGAAAACAATGTTGTGCCTTGAGTTAAGATGCACTTAGGGGCTTTATAATCGGACTTAGGAGAGTTAAGTTGAAGTTATGTTAAGTTTGTTTATAGGATTTGTAAGTTAAGTTATATCTTTTGTATCTTTTTTGGCGTTAAATTTGTAGTTAGTTCCATTGCTACTTTGGTATTTTCATGAGGATACACATGCGCGTTCCCATGTTTTTGTGGAAACACATCTCGAATGTCGAGATTTTTGAGCACCATGTGTATAGATGTGGAAACACATCTTTATAACACATACGCGTTTACAATCACTTTTTATGTCTCTGTGTGGAAACACATACGTATTTACTTGTTCTGGAAGTGTAAAATCTAGAAACACTTGCGCGTTCCACGCCAACCTTCTCCCATCTTCTCTTAAACAATAGGAAATGCCAGGATTTGAAGTCTGCAGCCATGCTTCCCGTGAAATTGATGTTATGGATCCCTATCTATTGATATAACTTTAACATTACTTATACAAGTTACCACTATTTATATATATACTTAAACCATATTATAAAATCAAATGCACAACATATATAATGCTTTGCATCTCAAGGCACAACTTTGTATATATATATATGTATCATCCTGGAAGTACGTTTCTGTCTTTTATTCCCCCAACAGTGTGTCCACACTGTGGGGTTCTTGCAGTAGGCGTTGAGCCCGGGGTTAGATCAGGGCTTGCCATCCTTTAAATTCTGCGCATAAGATTGCTCTTGTGCGATGTCCATGTGCATTTCGAGCGCAGGCTCGCGCAAAGTGTGCGCCGTGGGGTTCTCAAACTGTTGGTCTGTGGCATTTTCATCGTAAATTCTTGCATAAACGGGCTCTTGTGGAGATCCTGCTAAATTCCTCTCTATAAGAGGTCCTTGCATGATCCTGTACAGATCCTTAACAGAAGAGCTTGTGGAGATCCTGGTGAGAGCCTCGCTAAGAGGTCCTTGCATGAACATCTTGCAGATGCCATGTCTTAGAGGTGCTTGAATCAAAGCTGTTGTGGGAGACTCTTGGGAGGTTCTTCTATCACGATCTTGTGAGATCCGTTCCAGAAGGAGCAGGTCTTGGCCTGAAGCTCTTGGTCAGGGTCTTTTACGAAGATCTTGTGGAGATCCTAGTGAAATGCTATCAGAGGCCTTTGCGTGATCTTGTACAGGTCCTTGTGAGAAGCTCTTGAAGAGGTCCTGATGAAATCCTTTAGGTGTCCTTACATGATCTGGTACAGGTCCTTGTGAGAAGATCTTTTGGAGATCCTGCTTGATTAAGATCTTGGAGATGCTCTGCGTTGGTGCTTGATGGTGCTTGTATGAAAGTTCTTCTGGGATGCTCATAGGAAGTTCTTGTCTCAAGATCTTGCGGGAGCCTCTGTATATATATATAGACGGTCCTGCTGCTGCAGTTGTTTAAATTTTAAACCTCATCTGTTGCTGTTGCATAGCTGCTGTTGCTTGTATCTGGTACAGTGATTTCCTACCCTCGACGCTCTTTGGGGCCTCTTGCCGGTGTAATCGGGGGTTGATACAAGATGGAACCGCCAATTTTTTTTAAAAAAAAACATGAGCAAATGCAAGAGTCCTGGTGTATGTAATGATATAAACAAGTCCAAACATGCCTTTTATTGTTGGATTGCTACAAGGTGTTGCCCCTAGTTGTAAGTTGGTTTATGAACCCATCTACCCATAATTTTAATCTCTAAAAGCCTTTTTTATCTACTTAACCATTTGATAATCCAACTTAGCTAGCTGCGGGGCCCCATGATATGTGCCATGGTCAAGAGTTGCATTGTGAGGATCTCTACTAATGGGTTGATAAATCCCTAGTTATGGGATGGATGACCATCTCAGATAGACCATACCGTCTAACTTGTATTGGTAATGTTCCTCGCTAGCCAGTGGTTACAAGTTATTTGCTCATCAGTTAACCAATCCCAGGGATAAGATAGAATAGACAGTATAATCATCTCAGGTAGTAGCTATCTTTAAGTATTATATCCCTTCCAAACTGTCCAGGCAAGATTTCAAACGGTTTCAGGTATGTGCTTTCAATTTCATCGGGTACTAAACCATGGTGTTTGGCGACTGCTCAATGCTAGGGCTCTTCCAGCCAAAGACTTCAACATGGCTGGATTCCCTACAGTGGTGCGTTGTAACTCCGGGATCCACAGAGCACCGATGCTGGACGAGCCAGCGGTCACAGAGGCAACGATTCTCCACTTCAAGGATTCCAACGGCATGACTTTGCTGCATCATGCTGTCAGGGTTGGATGCTGGGAGGTGGCGGTCAAGCTGACCAACCTGAACACCTCTCCTACGGGAAGACCTCAGCAATGGACGCCCCTTATGGTATGCGTGGACGTAGGCAAGACCAGCATGGATGAAGGAACTTACAAGTTCATGTTGAGCCACCTGCTGGAGCACAGCGCCTTGACAACGGTGGAGTGCCGGTCTGGAAACAGATCCACTGTGTTGCACCACGCCTGTTGCCTGATGACTTCGCCAGCAGAGATGCAACGGAGAAGATCCAGGCAGAGCGACCGCAAGTGCGGTTTATGCAGGAGCTCCGGAAAAAGCAGTTTCTTGTCTGAATGAATTTTCATGAGTTACTGTCAGACTGTTGACGACCACTATTTTGAAATTTGCAGAAATATTGATGTCAGAGATGCGCGCAAAACACTGGGAAGTGATATGGCCCCCACCAAAAGGGACGTTGCAAGCCATTGTGTTTGGGCGCTTGAAGCTACAAATGATCCCCTTGGGTGTCATCAAACATGGCCGGGGAAATGGTGATATGATGACGGTGTCATGGAAATGAACGGATTAGAATGGATTGTAATGGAATATTAGTGGGATACGACAAAGTATCCCCATCAATATCCTGTTAGTATTCCCACAAGAATGGTTTCCCAGTTTCCCATTCTACTAGTATCCCACTTTGATATAATGGGTTGTATCCCATGAATATTCGGCAACGACCCATGAAATCCAATTCAATCCCATATAATGGAATATTCATTGAACATTCATGAATACCACAAAAAATATTCCCATTCAATATCCCATGAGTACTCCCATTTTAATAGTATCCCATAGTGATAGAATTTTTGGTATCCCATTAGTATTCTATAATTAACTCACTAATACCCCTCTATTATCCCATTACTATCATATTATTATCGCATAGTTACCTTGTTTTATCACATGACTAACAACTACATTTTCCAGAATTATCCCACTAAGTGGTGCAGTTATGGCCCTTAATAGTTTCAAATGGATTTATAATGATATATAACCGACTAGTTATAGGAGTTATATTTCCATGTTTACCCTCCAGTAAACTAACATAGCGAACTGGAAAATCACCATGGCCACAACATCAACAGCAAACTGTTAGTCATTGCCAGAGCAAAACAATAAAACACGGCGGTTGTGATTTCTAAGCCATGAATCGAACTGGTGATATCCCATATATATATATATACATTGTAACTGGAGTGTTTTATATGGTATACTATATGGTGATATATCCACTTTTAAAGGAAACTGCATTCCAAAAAAAAAAGGCTATTGACGACTTGGGAAAAGATATTGATAGTGACTCAGTGATAATTACTAGCTGGTTGATATCCCATATACATATACATATATATATAATTATATATATATATATTAACCGGAGTGTTTTCTATGGTGTACTATATGGTGATATATTCATATAGTACAATATACTATATATTAATAACTAACTAGTGATATTATACAGTTTTTGTATGGTATACTATATGGTGCAGTTACTATATGTTGATGTCCAATATATCTGGGTAAATTATAACGACCTCACTGCGACCGAACCCTGGAATCATAATTAGTAAGGGGAATCATCCCCAAATGGCCGAACTATTCAGGTTAGTGAAATATTATAAGTTACCCAGATGTTTATATTGTGTATAGAATACTGGATATGATATACTATAATAGCATTCTAAATATGATTGCTATTGGAATATAATTACAGAATATATTTGGAATATTACATTCATAGGCCAATCATATTCAATTCATTGTATTCCAATATTTAGTATATATCTACGGTTATTGGAATATACATATATATATAATATCAATTGGAATATGATACAATAATTGAATATATTGAATATTGGAATACATAATATAATTGGAATATGTTTGTTACTAGAATATGATTAGAATATTGAATTCATTGAAATATGATTGACATATGAATGATTGGAATATTATAGATATTACATATCCAATAATCGGAATGATTGGAATAATCAAATATTGGAATACATAATGTAATTGGAATATAATTGAACAATATTCAACAGTTTATAATGGAATAGGAATATAATTACAGAATATAACTGCAGTTCCCCTTACTTCGATCCTCGCCATCCTCGCCTTTGCGCCCAAATGAGTGAGGCCAGGCTCCGCAGAGGTCTTGCGCAGCAACTTCCAGCGGCTGCGCAATGCAGAAGGCGCAGCCCCTGCCTGGGATATATATATATATAGATATTAATGGTTATATACAGTGTATATATATATCTATGAATGGTTACAATAGGGGTTACCCTCTGGTAAACTAACATGACTATGGAAAATCACCATTTTGTTTTGGTATATCAACTATAAATGGCAATGTTCAATAGCTATGTTAGTTTACCAGAGGGTAGAGTATATACTGTGTATGCATATATGGAATATATGCATGTACAATCTCAAAGTATTGAAATAAATTTAAACATATATATATATATATTTGTTCATTTATTTACACAGTATATTTTTAACCATATATATATATTATTCCATTTAATGTGATATCATGGGGATATGATGGTCTTTTTGAATATGACTGACAGTTATTGCCAATACCATAGGCAATATGAGTGGTTGGGTGTAGGAGTTGATAGTATGGAATGATATGAGTTGTTAGTTGGGTTTATGGAGTGTTAGTCATAGATGTCCTTTTCCCATTGGTTGGTTGGTTGGTGAATAGAGAGGGGTTTGTTGACCCCTTTAACAACAGGTTTCGATGATGATAGATGGTATACCAAACCGGCCCCTCTATTTTTACCAAAAGGACATTATGGCGTGTTAGTGCATAGTTGATTATGAAGTGATTAGTTGACACTACTGCTGATAAGTGGAGATACCTGGTAAAATCTGATGAACATTTGGTTAGTGCTTGCTTGTTTGGTGCTTTCTTTCATGGGATGTGTATGGTACTGTTACTCCATGGTATCTGGCTGATGCCGGCAATGGATTGAACGTGAATATTGGGCGTTAATCAACAAGACTGGGAGACATTGCATATCTCACTGGGAATCATGGTTAGTAAGGGGAATTATCCCCTTTTATGGCCGAACTATTCAGGTTAGTGAATTATTCTAATTTACCCAGATACATTAGTGTATATATAAGTGGTTTGTGGTTTGGAACCTTTTTTTCTTTTTCCATTTATTGAGAATAATAACCCCAACTGACTTTCATATTTTTCAGATGGGTTGAAACCACCAACCATGCAGATTATATATTAATGAATTTTACCAATATTGTATGCATTTTTTCTGTAACCACTACTAGTCATAGAACCAACTGTATCATTCAGAACTCCATGTATACAGAACCCATGGATAACCATTAATAATAATTATTAAGCCTTATTAACCATTAATACCACTTAATAACATGATATTGTTGATAACCATTAAAAACAATGGATAACCATTTTAACCTTACACAGAAACCATGGATAACCTTAAATATTGTTGATAGCCATTAATAACCATTCATAACCCCCTGACCTGCACCTCCAAGTCACCACATGGCACAGGTTACATTGCTGCTACGGATGTGTTGCAGCTCCTAACGCAATTTGAGGCGCGAAATGGAGATCTAATCCATAGAAACCGAGGTTTTTCACCATGGGGAGATCGATCGGGAGATCGGGATACGATAGGTATTAATGAAATTGTAATACATCTGGTTGGTGGTTTGGAAATATTTTTCCATATATTGGGAATAATAACCCCAACTGACTAATATTTTTCAGAGGGGTTGAAACCACCAACCAGACATACCAACAGTATGGTATGGTATATTAACTAACCATCGAAAAAAATGATTAAACCAACAAACATGTGGATAATGGGTATAAGACCAATGGGATATATGACCAACCTAATATGATTTGGTTTAACAATTTTTCAGTATGACGATTTTTTCATGCTTGGAACCGGCCGTATGCTTGGTGAAGCCATCAACTCCTGCTGCTCCAAGTCACAGGGGTGTTCTTCTCGGATCGTTTTAGACCAGCCTTGGCTTCGTCTCAAAAGCGGAGAACCCGAAAAAAACTTCATTGTTCATGCGAAACCAACATGTTAAGACACATCCAAATTAGCCCAGTCAATCCAAATCATTAAGACAACACTTGGGTATGGATCAATACCTATTAATACCATTTTAGTGGGATGAACATCCATCCATTTACCAGCTATTTTGATGTTCACCAGGGGTACAAGGTTTTGACACACTGCCACTTGAACATCCCAACATTTTCAGGCCATGAGATTTTGAGGCTCCGTGATTTTAAGACCCAGCAGGTGACGCCCAACCAGCTGCCGCTACGCAGCCTGAGACGAGTTCTCACATGGCTCGGGGTCGAGGCGGCTAAGGGTTGGCACCAGGGTTGGCACCGCTGGGCTGCTTGATCTTCCCATATTACTTGGGATATACTGATGGGATTATGATGAATTATGGTTAACCATAACATTTTAGAAGCAGCAATGTTCATGGTTATCAGTATGGTTATCAGTCCTGGAAAGTGTAAGGTGACTTATTGATATATGTTTTTCTCAGGGTGACATGCATTATCAATGGGAAATCTACAACTGATATGGTTTACTTGTTGGTGTGGCCCCTACAGAAATCCAAGTGTTTCAGTCTTTCACTAGTGAAATGTGTTTGGACTATCTGATCTCCCTATTTTTCAATGGTTAAAAGATCAAAACTCATCGGACCTCATCATACATCTGCGATTCCATCCAACCCAGGCTGACATGGTACAGGGAAAGTCCCAAAGTTCTTGCGGGAATACTTGAACTGAATAGGAATTATAAAGATTGACATCTGCCATTTGGGGTTGTACATGGACACTGTCAGATGGCTGTTGTATGCTGTTGTTACCTGATCTGTGATAAATTCTTGACACAATGAGGAAAGCCTTACCATTGACTGGATTTAAGGCGACTCTTTGGAACTTAGAGACTATCAAACCTTGAAGTGAATGCCAAACACAAAGAGAAACTTCCATCACCGGAAAGGACGGTTGGTGCGCCCTTTTCTAATCCTCTGTCTTAGTGACAAACGCACGAAATCCGGCAATGAGAAAAAAATGGAAACGAGATCCGTTCAAGCCAAAGCATGTGTTTAAACCTCATGTCCCATATTCATCAGGGGTTGGTAACTGTCCCATTTTGGATATATTGGACATCGCCTTATAGTAGCCATTATAGACCATATACCTAATGGTTGGGTGATGTTCAATGGGGACATTTAATGTCCCATGTTCATCCATATTCAAATAAATTGGGGCGTCGACCCTTGTTGGATAAATCCATTGATCTTCCCTAATATTTCATACGTTGTGTCCTGATGGAATGTCCCATAATATCCACATGGAATGATTGGTTCAATCATATTTAATCCTTTCAATTTCCCTTCAACAGTGGTTTACCAGGGTCCCTCACATGTTGCTTAAATCAGGATCAATCTACGTGGACCGTGTTAAAACGGTCCCATATTTGTTGCTTAAAGCCCCATATTTGCTGATTTTGGGGGGTTTCCATAGTCATGGGGCTACCCCAAAATAGATGGTTTTTGTCATGGAAAATCCATCTAGAAATGGATGATTTGGATTGATTTGGGGGTAGCCCCATTTCAGGAAACCTCCTTACACTGCACATATCTCCCACATTTGAGCAGTGTCCAGAAACCATCGAACCATCAAGGATTGTCATCATCCACGATGTGGGAACACCATTCTTAAGCAACCAATATTTCAAAGAATGGCAGAGGAATTACCCTCTGGTAATTTAACGTAGCTATGGAAAATGACCATTGTTAATGGGAAATTCCACTATAAATTGCCATTTTCAATAGCTATGTTAAATTACCAGAGGGTATTGACTGTTAACCAGTTCTTTCCACTATTCAACATGCACCCATTATCCCTTAAATCCCATTCTTTACCAACCAGTATTATCCAGCAGGCTTCGAGAGTGTTTGTTATATAAAGATATCCCACTATATCACCACGGTTGTAACATGTTACAACTCATATTAAACCACTACCCACCCGAATCATTGCATCATATTGCGATTTGAATCCCGCCTTGAAAAAACCCGATGAAAACCATTGACCAACCACAGTGTTAACCACAATGCCACTCGACCAATCGACCACTCGACCAGTGCAAAGGCCAATCGGTTGGAAGAGGTGCTGCCTCTGAAGCACCTCCCATCGCCCGGGGATGCTCAGGCCAGGCCGTATGCTTTCGGAGAGAGTGGACGTGTTGGGAGATAACGATGGGTATCATGCTTATCATCCACTCCTAATTACTCATATGTTCCTAAATTGTTCATGATTTTGCATCATGTTGATTTGTTGAATCATGTTCTTTTATCAACAATTAAACTAGTTCTGGTTCATTACTACGATTATCAGCAATCATGTTTTGTGTTTTCATCATTGTTTACTATTGTTAATAACACACAGATCATCCATGGGAAACCCTGCGATAAAACTACAGGATCTGGCGGGATGAAGTGTTGCTATTAGTGGTGGCTTCCTATCAACTGGGGACCTTTAAAACAAACGTGTTGGGCCAGACCTGAAATGGACAAAAAAAAATTGGAAGATGTGAATCATTGTGAATCCAATTGGTTGTTTTTGTGAATCCTGATCTGCAGTTTTTCCGACAATGGGGATTGTTCCTACCTCTCGGAACAAAGAGCAGTGACCTCAGCAATGGTTGGGCTGGTCACCTTTGATGGGCACAAAAAACCCATCCGCCCCTAGTGATTGCTGGTACTCCCAATAAGATCCTGAAAACGAGAATAACTGGTTGGTGGTTTGGAACATTTTTTCTTTTCCATTTCATATATGGGATGTCATCCTTCCCAACTGACTCATATTTTTCACAGAGGTAGGTATACCACCAACCAGCTCCAGGAACCCGAGTTTCGTCTAAGACTTCAGAGTCTATACATTGTCTACACGGCGCCTCGGAAACGCGAAACGCTTAACCCTCCGGTTCATGGGGATAGTTCATTGGGATATGGAGACGGAATGGAATATAATAGATTATAATGGCATATTCATAATTTAATGGAATATAAATGGGATATTAATGGACTATAATGGAATGTTCATGGGAGATTAAAGGAATATGTGTTAATACCCTTCGGTGCTATTACTTGCATGTTCAGCATGGTTATATATATATGTAATATTCACAAAGACACTTTATTGAATTCACGTGTTTGCCAAGTAGGTTAGCGTTTTGACCACCACTCAACAGTCGCAGAGGTCATAACCAGCCATGCATCAAAAACTATCAAAGGATCAACTGGCCATTGTAAAGGACATAAAAGGATAGTTTTTTGCTCAATTTCCAGACAGGCGGCCATGAAAGGACTGGTGATGTTCCCCACATTACCAGCCATGGACATCGAGCCGCCAATTCCTGTTCATCCAGGTCTGGGTTTAGCTAACGCTGTCTCCTAAATCGCTGTCTCCTCGTTTAGGTATTCCAATATTTGATGATGAATTTCTAAATAAATTGATAGTCATATTGTAGTTGTTTGTGCTTTAGATATCCCAAATATGTCTGATATATTTAGTCTCAAAACTTTTTGGTATCCACTCTAGGAACAAAATTCAAAGAAGTTGCGTGATCAAGATTTGCCGAATTTAGTGGGAGCTACCCAACGTTGACATATACATATTATATATATATATGTATTTATATGTTTATCATCCAGAAGTAGATAGGATAGAATATAAGATGTTCCATTTTAGTGAGATAAAACATTTGATATTATTCGATATTATTGTATAGCTTCTCTAGGATGACTTTATATATATATATATATACATATGTATGTAAGTCACCACTATTGTTTATTAGAATCTTTTGTGGGTACTGTACCAGTACACAAACAAAAATATTGAATTATCATCAATAATACTTAAAACACTAGAATGCATGTTCAATTGCTTCTATAAAACAATAGATTATAGTCTATCAACATCACTATACGTATATATATATACATAACTATAACCATCTATTGACATATTATTAGCCAACCAATATATTATTTACATTTTAGCTATAAAATTACTAACTTAACTATAAACACATAATTATATGTTTTTAAACTATTCCCATAGATTTATCAATGGATTGGTTCAAGGGTCATTAAATGTTCAGCAAAGTCCTATATTTGATGGGTGAAACCATGGTTTCCAGTTAAGATTTTCCCAACAAGACCAGTCCATTGAATTTTTCAGACTCATCCGGAAATTATAGTAATATCTTACCAAAAAAAAACATTCCCCATAGATTTACCCTCTGGTAAACATACAAATAGCTATTGAAAATGGCCATCGAAATAGTTGATTTACCCATTAGCATGGTGATTTTCCAGTTCGTTATGTAAACGTTTACCAGAGGATAAATCCCACTAAATCCCATTAAACCACCATAAAAAAGTCTTTAAACCATCATTTTCCTATGGTTTTCCTATGGTTTTTCTATGAACTTCGCTTCGCCATTTTTCTCCGCAGCTGCGATGGGCGCCCAGGACTTTGCCGAACGTTTCGAGCGGGGCTTGGCACGTGCCATGCAACAGCTGCGACCCTTTGAGGCGCAACTGGGGACGGATCCTTGGTTTTTTTTGATCGAAGGAATATGGGTATGGGTCAATACCTATAGATACATTTTTAGGGGGATGAACATCCATTTACCAGCTATTTTGATGTTCACCAGGGGTACAAGGTTTTGACACACTGCCATATGAGGAGAACAAAAAAAGTGAAAATCATATCAATATGGGGATATAAGATTCAGAAAATCGTATTAATATGAGATGATGATGATGATGATGATGATGGGGAACATCATATCAATATGGGGATAGAATGTGGGAAAATCATCAGAGATGTAACGGAATAAAAAAGGGTATTGGTTGGATTACTATTGGATATGTTTGCATGGTGAGTTTACTCACCTACATGTTTGTTGAGATGTAAACGCTAGCCCATAGATATTGGTATATAACCACTTATAACTGAAACTTCACCTTGAAGTATAACAATGGTCTAGCCAAGCAAAATGGTGATTTTTTCATGTGATTTTACCAACAAAAAATGGTGATTTGACAGAAACAATGGTGATTTGACAGAACTAAGAAACATGGGGTTTTAACAAAACAGAATGGGAATATGTGGAGAATCTGTGAATATCATCAGATTACAATTGGAATATCAAGGCAATGGGAATGTCTTGAATCTATTCATGACTGGCGTTTCATGTACCGGAGGTAATTCATGCTACAATAAGGAGCCCTCCAGTTGCAAGTATGGATTATGGGATATATATATACATATATTATATATAATGAATTATATAACCAACAATATGGGATATGGCCGTGTTTGGAACCGGATTCAAGCCACAGAAAAATATACGTATTTTTTCGACAGAGCCGGTAGAGCCCCCCCGAGTAGCCGCTAGCCACATCTAACCATAGATATATCCAGCATAAATCTTACAATGTGAGGCCCCAAGATAGCTAAGTTGGTTTATAAGCCCCAGTAACTATAGTTATTTGCGTACCATAAACCATAGTTATTGGAGTTATAAACCAACTTAGCTATCTTGGGGGCCTCACATTGTAGTAATCGTATTTATAAAGCAATTTGGATTCATCACATGCTTTCCAATGATTTCCAATTTTATATAATGACTTTGATATCCTCATAGTTCTATAAAAAAAGAGGAAACACACACACATAATTACTCATCAACCAACCATCATTTATCAGCTATATCTCTGCAACAAAAACCATGACATCATTTAAAACAATACCCTCTGGTTGTTTAACATAGCTATGGTATCGATGGCCCATAGAAATAGATGGTTTACCTAGCTATAACATGTTGGATCTTTCCATGGCAAACTGGCAATGTCATAACCAGATGATACCTATATCGTACCTGGCGAATCCCATGATAACCCCACTCTTTCAATGGCCATTTCAGGAATAAATTGGAGGTACCTACCATATATAAGGCCTATATAAGGCCTATGTAAGGGAATATCCCCACAAAATATGGCCTTATATGGTACAGTACCTCCATTTTAGGATCCTGAAATTCCCATTGACTCTTCGATGCTTGAAACGCCCTGGATTCGCCAGGCTGACGTCGTGGACGCCGGACTCGCTTCGCCAACAGCTCCGGGTCCACCGGATGCACTGAGCCACGTGGCGCGCGCGCGCGAGTCGGCGGCCAATAGGCGACCGTTTAAGTCGTTGAGTCGTCCCGGTGATGGGGTTTGATGGGGTCAAACTCAAACATATGGGATTTATAAAGCTATGGTTGATGGAATTTGATGGATGTTTTTTTCAGAACTGTAGATAGAATATGATGGAATGTGATGTTGTAGATATTTAACATGATAAATATATATATATATAAATATCTATGATGGTACTTAAGTTATCATAGTTTTTCTCATGAAGCACAAATATGTCTAAGGTGTTCTTTTTGGCCAAGCCAGTTTTTTCCCGGAAATCCAGGGCCATGGCCCATGGCCTGTCATCATCTCAACTGACGGTTTCTCATATTTTTCTGAGGGGTAGGGCGAAAAACCACCAACCAGATATTGTTTGTTACGATTTGGCATTCGTCCTTTTTGGAAAAATATGCAAAGAAAACTCCAATGTTAGGCATCTATATAGGTTATGTACGCTACATCCCATCTGCCCATTACAATATGCAGCCCATTTGTAAGAGGATACGATATGATATGATAAGTTATAAGCCACTATATACCCAGGTATGTTTGTGGAGATACTGGTTGGGGAGCGCAATCCAGTTATTAACTCAGTTACTCAGTTATTCCATTCCCCATACCATTTATACTGGGTGATAACCCATGCCATCATTGTAGGTATCCAGTTGCTAGCGATTACAGTCCTACTATGTCCTACTTATCATAGTTGTAACATATCAGGTACCAATTGACATCTCCTAGGCCACTGCCGGTATGGGTTATATAACCCAATCACCAAAAAATAGTAGGGCCCCCTGGACTAAGTTGGTCGAACTACAGGTGTTTCCCCCCAAAAAAAAAACGGTTATTGCAGTTGTAAATACCATAAATCAGAAACCCAAATCCCAATTTTGATCCATTTTGTTTCTAACTTAAATCCCAATTTTCCCCACTGGGAAAGGTCGAAATTCCACCAATAGGTAAATCTTCAATTTCCATAGTGAGAGATCCTCATTTTTCCCCAGTTTTTCATGATTTTCCCCATTGTGTTTTTATGATTTTCCCATTTTTGTTGATTATTTTCCCATTTTTGTTGATGATTTTCCTCATTTTTTTCATGAAATCCTTATTTCACCCATCTTAACCGGCTAGGCGTTGCGTGGTGCTTGAGCAAGAGGTGCGCACCAAGGACCGCATCGTCCGCGAGCTGCAACGCCAGGCGAATAGGGGGTCCGGTCTGTCTGGACATTGGACGTTGCGCGTGAAATCATTGGACATTTGTAAAAAAAATAAACATTATGATATTCCCAGTATATCATCATTTTTATCCCAGTAACCATAGTTATAACATGTACCCATTTATAAATGATAAACTATGGTTGCTATTTATCCCAATTATCCCATAAATGGGATACCATCTGGTTATTTAACATAGCCATGGAAAATCACCATGTTTAATAGGTAAACCATCTATAAATGGACCATTTTCTATGGCTATGTTAAATAACCAGAGGGTAAATAAACATTCTATAATAAACATTATACCGGTTATAACATGTTATAACATTATAAATAACTATAAATGTCTATGAAAGGTAACTTGACATATATACCAATAATTTATATTTATATTGCTGCGCAAAATCTTCAAGTATTTTCAACTAGAACGCGATCGCATTGGAATGCTAGGAGAGCGTAAGCTCTTATCTTTGAAGGCCCTTGGCAATACTGCTGACTGAGAAACGCCTACGGCCAGGGACTGGATCACCAAGTTTCATCCCATGTTCTCCCAATATGTGTTGTTGTATCCCCGGTTTTGGGAAAATGCCATAGGCCACCAGTTTTAAGCCTCGCATTTAACTATAGATATATCCATGAAGTAAACCCAAATTAATCTACTCATGAACCAACTTATTTATCAAAAAACACTTTTAAAAACAGTTTGTTTAAAAAACAACACGTATTTTGAGTGGTGGTTTAATTTGCCATGTTACCATTTCATGATTCTTTGAGGCACTGAAGCCGTTTATATTTCAGGTGGGAGAATTGGAAGGCTTCGTGGAGCGATTGGAGGCGGAATTGTACGAAGAGACTCGTTTCACGAAATGGTGGACCCCTCCTATACCATGGGAAATGGGAGAAATGGTGATAGAGGTTCTTAGAATTGGTTCTGAACACCATTAACTAGTTCGACATATCTGCCATAAAGCATAGTCAACCTACTATATAATATTATATAATTGTATTTTTTTTGGAAAATGGGGGGGGATCCCCAAGTCACCATGGGTTTGAATATTGAAAAGGTCTATAATGACTTGGATGATTTGGAAGTACCATCATTTGAGGAAACCTCGATGTAATGGGGATGTAACGGATATATATCATGCAAGATTGATGGGATATGATATAGTGTTTAATGATTATGTTAATACTATCCTGTAATCAAACGTGGCAAGCTAAAAAATATCCAAATGAAATGGAGGTTTCTAGCCGGAAAAATCACCCATTCTCATGAGGGATCGGTGGAACAGCTGTGCATCTAAGTGCCAGCATCTAAGTAGATCTGCTCATGGAACACATATGCCGATGCTTGTATTGTATAAATCAGCATATACTCTGTGTATATATATATATATCTGGTTGGTGGTTTGGAACATTTTTTATTTTTCCATATATTGGGAATAATAATCCCAACTGACTTTCATATTTTTCAGAGGGATTGAAACTACCAACCAGGTAACATATGCATAGGTTATTAAAAATATATAGAAATGAGTTGTACTGGCTGACGCCCTAGTGCAGCCAATCCCACTTCACCGGCCAAAAATGGTGGTTGATGTTGGTCGAATCGCGGCATAGAAATCGCGTTCGGCCAGGGAACTAGAGATGGAAAGAAACATGTGTTGTATACCTTTTTCATATGACCTTTTTTGGGGGGAGATAATGAGGATACACTTTTTTCAGACAACCCAGATAGGTTGGGGTTGAGTTGAATTTCTTGTTGTTTTGTTGTTTATGATCTTATTGTCAGTATTGCTTTTCGTATTCGGATTACTATATATATATATAGTGGGTCTCGGGTTGATATATGCTTGTTAGGTATATATATATGTGTGTGTACGTGTGTGTGTGTGTTTTATGGATTAACGGATATGTTAGGATGTTTTGGGCAGACAAATCATGTTCTTACAAGTGTGCCTAACGGTTTCAGAATGGTGATATACTGGGATTTAATGGGGTTTAGTCAAGTCTAAAACCAATCATACTGGTGGTATCATGAGATATATAATCAACTTGACATGATGTCGAGGTCTCTCTGAGAATGGGGAATAAAGAAACAAAAACAATTAACTCTTAAGGAAAAACATGATACCCTCTGGCAATCAAACATGGTAGTGGGAAACCCACCGTTTATAGATGAATTGCCATTTCGACATCCATTTCAAGGGGATGTCAATCAGTATCGGAAGGGTACAGTAAATTACCGAACGGTGTCAACTGCACTGAAACATACTTACCTGACGATTGGTATAATTTTCTGGTAAAAGGTACAGCAACAGTTTTTAGATTGCCATTTACGAGTTCTTTTGCAAAGAACATGTCAAGGGCATTCTTCAATGTTTGTGGATGGATCCAAATGACGCGAAGGACAATCAAGAGATATGCTGGATGCAGTGGACATTTATTTGCCACATACTGCAGGTGGCTCTGAATACAGGGCGTCATTCATATTCCTGCGGCGCCGTGGACGTGCAGATGCAATGTACACAGGCAGAGGAACTCACCTGTTGTCTCCAGGATGGCGTTACATCGCGTTGACGCGCGCATTAGAGCGTTGCTACGAATTGTTGAAAGCATGTCCAGAAGCTCCGCATCATTGCAGCTGTTGGCGCAGTTTGAAGGTGCCCTTTTTGAATGGTTTAAGGCGCAACCTGCACGATGGCTCAATTGCGCCGCACATGTTTTTTTTTTTAATACCCTCTGGTAAACTAACATAGCTATTGAAAATGACCATTTATAGTTGATTTCCCTATTAAAAATGGTGATTTTCCATAGCTATGTTAAATTACCAGAGGGTAATCAAACCGTGTTGCAATGGCCAACTGCAAATCACAGAGGCGCAGTACAGGATTTTGCGTTGCCGGAAACAAAGGTTGCAACTCCTTTCTTTAAAGGATCCATTGAATGGTAAATCATTGGATGCGGGCAACTATAAATATATCCATGTTTTAATTATCCAGTAATATAGTTTGTTTATATTCGTTTATAGCCATGAATATCCATTAATAAATGGGTTGTATAACGATAGTTGTAGGGCACATCTCATCTTTTGGAGGTTAGAATCCCAAACACATTCCCATTATGAATAGTAACAACTGTGGCCATTGTTCACTTCCCATTATGAACTAATGAACTATTTATTATCTATAGTAATTGTAGTTACTATATCTGTCGGTACTAACCATTATATAATATTATAACTATGGGTAACCATTACTATTACTACAATAACCAACTATAATAACCATCAACAGTTGTTGTAACCACTAATGGTTATTATAGTCGGTGATTAAGTTCCCATCAAAAATAGCATTATTATTGCTAATTCCCATTATTAAATATATAGTTATAACTATTTTAGTTATATCACTATTATGGTTAACAATGATACTAACCATCAATATGCTATAACTATAATAACCATTACTATTACTATATTATGATATTCCCATCAAAAGCCACTGTGATTACCATGACGACCAAGGAGCGAAGCAGCAAGGTGCGGCTGATGGAGCGGTGGCCCAGGACTGCCGATGCCATAAAAATTGGGTGAAATGGACCACAGGATGGTGCCCCCCCCAGTTACCCTCTGGTAATTTAACATAACTATGGAAAATCACAATTTTTCATGGGAAAATTCACTATTTCTATGGTGATTTTCAATAGCTATGTTAAATTACCAGAGGGTATAAGTTGGTTGATAAACCCCATGAACTATAGTTATGTCTAGCATAAACCATAGTTAACCACTCTTTTAGGCAACTTAGCTATCTTGGGTGCCCATAGGTGCCCCATCCTGCAGTGCTGCTGGGATCTCATTGGATTTTTTTGGGAGGAATTTGGAGTTTTTGGAGCCATGGTATGGCCCATTTATAGATGTTTTTTGATGATTTACCTATTACAAATGGTGATTCTCCATGGCTACGTTAAATAACCATAGGGTAAACTTCCATTTTCCTATGGGTTTTCCTATGGTTTTCCCATTAAAACCTCCATTTTCCTATGGGATTTATTGGGATCTCTTGATGTTTTGGGGGGATTTAATGGGTTTTTTTTTCTGGAACTTAACTATCAAAGATATGGAAATATAGTTAATCTAGTTGATAAATGCTGGTCGGTTGATTATTGCGGGGAGTTGCGCGATACATACATATATATATATATATGTATACACATATATATATATATATATTGGGGATTATTTGGGATTATCATGATCCACTCTGGGATTCCCGTTCTTACCGATTCTTGCCAACCAGTATAATGGAATGACTCAGGGTTTTGAACACTGGTACTCGTAGATTTGGCATGGTTTCACCATGTTTCACCAACTAAACATGGGTGCTTGTGGGATCCAAAAACGCCAAATTCATCCCATTAACATAAGGAAACACTCATGATAAAGATATGTAGGTACTTCGAGTTTGTGGGGATCCCATTTCACTTTACAGCAAAACACGGTTTCACCGCAAATGAAAAGCTGATTAACGAGGCTTACGAACCTGAAACAATCCAAGTCTTGGTGTTCTTGGTGGTTTGTTACTGTCCCATTGGTTAATCCACAAGTTGATCATTTTGAGGATCTACTGTGACCAGCCTCTGGTAATTTGTTACATAGCTATTGAAAATGGCCATAGAAATAGTTTATTTATCGTATTTACGATTAAAAATGGTGATTTTCCATTGTTATGTAAACCTTTACCAGAGGGTATGTTCTAGTTTTGGGGGCCACTTAAGCAATCCAAGAAGTCACCAACAAACATGTGGACAAAAAATTGGCATATATCCCAAACTAGGTGGAACATATGATGACAGTTCAAATGTAGGTTTACTTGTCCATTTTTGTGAAAACCCCTGTGAGCTTGTTATGGGTTTGTTGAAATATAGGGTGTACATACTGGAATATAATGGGATATGCACTGACCAGCCAAATTGATATAGTTTGTGGGCGACTTACCAAGAGTGAAGGGGATATCATAGGATATGTGGTTCAACATTAGATGGATAGTTTTAGTATTTAGTACTGGTACTTCAATATTTTGCGGCATGATGGAGGGTCAATGGCGTACAATGGCTTCAACCATGTGGATGAAAGATGATTCGCATGAAAAATTCTCGTCCGAGACATGGAGAAAAATCTATCAAGGGCTCGACAACTGTGACTTCCCTTCTTTCTCCCGTCTTTCCAAATCTTTCCAAATCGATATCTCCATGGATAAGATTGTGCATTTTCCGAGCATGTAACTCTTAGCTTGGATATATTTGGATATGGGCTTTGAGAGTCGATACGATCCAACATTAAGCAGCCCCATTCTATGGCTCCAAGTGTAAATCACCCCTTCTACTCAGTAAACCATGGTGGATATTAGGGCTGTTTCATAGGGGATGGGATGATAGTTGGGAGGGGTCTCGGGGGCCATCACTGTTTTCGATCAGGTTTTCGATGTTTAGGACATCATCACAGAATTACAGAAGATTAGCCTACATCAACTGTGAGAATCTAGGCAGCTAGTCGGTACAATTACCATCACACAACCATCTAACCACTCGCCAGCCTTTTTCGGATCATTTTAAATCCAGGCAGACTGGGTTCCCCGGCTGAAACACAGAAAACTGCAGGGTATCGCATGGATTCGCCACACATGTTTCTTGACAGAAGAATGTTTACAATAGTTTATAATCTTAATTATTCTCAAATCCTATTGAATCTATTGAATAGCTATCTACAATATATGCGTCCCACATAGCATTGTTGATCATCATGTTTTTTGGATAAGCTATCTCCCGTCACCGAGGCACAATTGGATGAATCGTTACCCAGGGCGGAAGTGGAACCCAAGTTGAAGCAGATTGAGGCACTGCAAAGATGCGGGACCGTATGGGGTCAGGAGATGGTCAGGAACGGAAACGCTGATGGCTTGATGCATAAAAAACATGTTACAGCTGTGGGGATGTAACCCATTCATACTTATCATAGTTGTGGGGATGTAACCTATTCATACCTATTCTCCGTTTCTTTCCCATCACGAACATCACTGGAAGTGCTTTCCCAAGTCGCGATGCCGAGCCGCCCGAGCCCCCCAAAAAAGGGTCGGTCAGCTTGTTGGAACCCCAAGATCCAATGGAAAAGTCCCAAGCGAAGATCATTGAAACATAGAGGACAATGGCTTCGAACATGTCTTCAAGATGATGTTCTTCAGATCCCAAAATGGGATATACCCGTTTTTATCCCTTTGTAATCCCCCTGTGATTTGTTTTTTTTGAACAATGAAAAGCTATTCATATTAACGACCCCATGAAGCCATGGATGAAAAAACTTCCCCAAATCCTTCCATCCTTCGCACCAGGAACTCCGGTTTCAGGTGGACCAGTGTGGATGCCAAAGGTGTCACCTACAAAAATGGTGATGACTCCGGGATAGTTAATATGTGTATGGCACTGTTGGACCCACATATGTCAAATAATGTCAAGCCTGGATTAATAACCCCCTAGCACGGCTGTTTAATAACGGGAGGGGGGTACCAAAAAAAAGTATCAGATGAAATGACTATTAGGGAAGTACCCCCCCTAATTAATAAACCATGGTTTATTAATCCGGGGTTGACAGTATATAATCATAATCCACAAAAGTTGTTTGATATTGTTTCTGGGTTATAATATGTTCTAATGTATTAAATATGTTGTGAAAATAATTTGCATTCATGGTGGGTGTTCCACATCTATGTACACGTTTACAGGAGGGTATAATCCAGTAAAAATGTCTGTTGGTTTCATGAATTACCAATTATGGACTTATCTTGTATAATTAATGAATATCTATTTGCATATATGATCCCATTATCATCAATTATGTTGATGATCCTGTTTCCAATACGTTAAAAGCTGGAACATTTACTATAGTCAAGTACTGTATTGATTACAGTAATATAAATATATGTATTACGTGTATATATATACATATATATATAGAGAGAGAGAGACACTATATATTTGAATTTATAAGCGCTATAGTTGCAAGTATAATAAACCCTAGTTACTGGAGTTAAAATCCAATTTGGCTATCTAGGGGGCCCCAGATTGTTCAGTGTTTCCAGGCCAACAGCTCTCATGTTTACCAGTGAAATGCTGTCAACACTGGTTATGGGATGGTACGGCTCAAACCGTCGTGCCCCAAAAAGATCGAATCATTTGCATGCGAAAGAATTTTGCTGATTTTTGTTCCAAAACAACTCTGAGATCTTTGACACATAGCCAACTTCTTCCTGTTTGAATGGCCTACCCTTCTAAGCCATGGAACTTGTCGCTACGGGGGTCTGGAGATGGCCCTATCAATGTCCAGCCATTGTTTTTAGTGACACCAAGTTCGAGCCGCAGAGATGTTGGATGATCGGGATATGCCCTGTAAGAGGGGCCAGCTGCGGAAATACCCACATCTCATAAATGGAGATTTTCCGTTGTTTTTCTTTGATGAGGGCTAACCAATATGATTCAACCATATAATTTATAGTGGGTAAATCATGTCATTTTTACCACCCCAAAAATGGGAATGGTAAACACATACCTCCTGTAAAAATGGTGATTTTCCTGGGGGATGGTGGGTAAACACCTCACCGTCAGATGGACGGCATGCCTCAGGTCCAGCCTGGCATTGAAACAAGCCAAGGACATCGGAGTTAGACGTCATGGACCATGACGTGTTATATTAAACTATCTTAGTGTTAAATCATTGGTTCTTAACCCAAGTCGACTCCATTAGTATTAACCAATTAATAGGTTATATTAACATTAGTTAACCCAAATTAACATCTATGGTAATCTTAGTGTTAAATAATTCTGGTTGGTGGTTTCAAACATGTTTTTTTTCCATGTCATATATGGGATGTCATCCTTCCCATTCACGAACTCATATTTTTCAGAGGGGTCCAAACCACCAACCAGTTGAGTTAGGATATGTTAAGATTTTGAAAGGCATGGTTAGACTCCCTCTGGTAAACGTTTACAGAAAACAATGGAAGATCAACATGTTCTAGCTGGGTAAATCAACTATTTCTATCCCATATGCTCCATGTATGGAATATTTACCATCATTTGCCCCATAAATGGCCAAATGTAGGTAAATATTCCATACATGGATCCTATGGGTATGGTCATGGCTTCAATAGCAAACAGTTTGCCAGTCATTACCAGGCCGGGTACGTCATGGGATTGTGGGATCCTCCTTGGTACCTTGCGGCCTGTGGCAAATCAAACATGGCAATGAAAAACATGGCCCGTGTTCCCTGTAAAACATAATAACAATTAAAGGACCGGATAACCCCACATGTTACCAACTTCTTTAGACTTAGACTGACCATAGAAGAGCAAGAAGGGAAGAGGAAGTATAAGAGTGATGGAGCGGTGATGGTGGGTGAGTTTGTGTGTATGTATGTATGTTCATGTACAGTGAGTGAGTGAGAGTGTGAGTGAGTGATGCGAGTGTGGTGTGTGTGAGTGAGGGATGTGAGAGTGAGTGAAGTGAGTGAAGTGAAGTGAAGTGAAGCGAAGCGAGTGAGTGAGTGAGTGAAGTGAGTGAGTGTGTGCGTGCGTGTGTGCGTGTGTGCGTGTGTGCGTGTGTGCGTGGTGTGCGTGTGTGAGTGAGTGAGTGAGTGAGTGAGTGAGTGAGTGAGTGAGTGAGTGAGTGAGTGAGTGAGTGAGTGAGTGAGTGGAGTGAGTGAGTGAGTGAGTGAGTGAGTGACTGACTGAGTGAGTGAGTGAGTGAGTGAGTGAGTGAGAGTGAGTGAGTGTGTGTGTGTGTGAGTTGTGAGTGTGAGTGAGTGAGTGTGTGAGTGTGTGAGTGAGTGAGTGTCTGCGTTCTCTTTTCCGTTCCCGGCACAGACCGGAAACATCATAACTGCATGGCATAACTTAAAAGTGATTTCAATAACCTACACCAAGTCAAGTCAATGTGGGGAGCAAAAACCCCACACGTCAATGTGAGGAACAAACTGTTGGTGTGCCTGACATATTCAACACCATACATGTTTAACACACATTCGAAACGGCCTCGCCTTTCCAGCCTTCCGACACACTATCAAAACGATGGTGTGCTCACCATACTTTCGCTGACCAAAGTAATGTTCTGCACTCTTTCGAGCGCAGCCGCACATTTTGTGAATTCTTTCTGCATGCCCTGTGGCTGGTAAACATCGCTGGCACATGATGATGATGATGATGATGATGATGATGATGATGATGATGATGATGATGATGATGATGATGATCATGATCATGATCATGATCATGATGATGATGATGATCATCATGATGATGATGATGATGATGATGATGGAAGTGAAGCGAACTGAGTGAGAGGGTGAGTGAGGGAGGGAGGGAGGGAGGGAGTGAGGGAGTGAGTGAGTGAGTGATTGAGTGTGTGTGTTTGTGTGTGGGTGATTGAGTGTGTGTGTTTGTGTCGTTGGGAACCGGCTTCCAAGTCCGTTGAAAGCAAATTTCTAAAAAAAAACTCATCATCAAAACTCCCGGAACTGGAGCTGCAGCCCAGAGGCAAGAGCCTGCCTTGGAGTAGTTGCTCACGGAGGTGCTGAGTCAGGCGAGGAACCGACCTGCCCCCGTACATCCAACCCCTTGGCAGTGCACCTTGTCCGACGCCTGCCACGCAAAAGAGGCGGAGCCCCAAGGGACGCCAGGGCGTACATCCGCCCCTTGGCAGTGCGCATTGTCCCACGCCTGCCACGCAAAAGCGGCGGAGCCCCAAGGGACGCCAGGGCGTACATCCAACCCCTTGGCAGTGCAGATTGTCCGCGCCTGCCACGCAAAAGAGGCGGAGCCCCAAGGGACGCCAGGGCGTACATCCAACCCCTTGGCAGTGCAGATTGTCCCACGCCTGCCACGCAAAAGCGGCGGAGCCCCAAGGGACGCCAGGGCGTACATCCAACCCCTTGGCAGTACACATGGTCCCACGCCTGCCACGCAAAAGAGGCGGAGCCCCAAGGGACGCCAGGGCGTACATCAGACCCCTTGGCACTGCACATTGTCCCACGCCTGCCACGCAAAAGCGGCGGAGCCCCAAGGGACGCCAGGGCGTACATCAGACCCCTTGGCAGTGCACATTGTCGCACGCCTGCCACACAAAAGAGGCGGAGCCCCAAGGGACGCCAGGGCGTACATCAGACCCCTTGGCAGTGCACATTGTCCCACGCCTGCCACGCAAAAGCGGCGGAGCCCCAAGGGACGCCAGGGCGTACATCCAACCCCTTGGCAGTGCAGATTGTCCCGCGCCTGCCACGCAAAAGAGGCGGAGCCCCAAGGGACGCCAGGGCGTACATCAGACCCCTTGGCAGTGCAGATTGTCCCACGCCTGCCACACAAAAGCGGCGGAGCCCCAAGGGACGCCAGGGCGTACATCCAACCCCTTGGCAGTGCAGATTGTCCCACGCCTGCCACGCAAAAGCGGCGGAGCCCCAAGGGACGCCAGGGCGTACATCCGACCCCTTGGCAGTGCACATTATCCCACGCCTGCCACGCAAAATGCGCATGAGTGAGCGAGTGTGTGAGTATGTGAGTGTGTGAGTGAGTGAGAGTGAGTGAGTGAGTGAGTGAGAGTGAGTGAGTGTGTGTGTGAGTGAGTGAGAGTGAGTGAGTGAGTGTGAGTGAGTGAGTGAGTGTGAGTGAGTGAGTGTGAGTGAGTGTGTGTGAGTGAGTGAGTGAGGGAGAGAGGGAGGACGGGAAGGAGGACGACGAGGAGCGGATACAGAACTAAAAACAAAAACCCCACACGTCAATGTGGGGAATAACCCAACAACCCAAGATATCCCAATGTATTCCCAATATATATTCCCAGTATAACCCAAGAAATTTCCCATGGAAATATCCCAATGCATTCACATTAAATCTCAGCTCCGAATGCTATCCCAGTATCCCATTGCTATTTTGTATCTACAAAAGGTGGCGGTTCATCCCACGAATCCTGAGGAGGTTGTCTCCCAATGTTTTTTCAGTGGGATTTTTGGTAGGCTTCATCCACTGATAACTAGGGTGAACTAACCTACTTATCTACTTATCTACGTGGGATGAGCCACCAAGTACCCCCTGGTAATGACTAACATCACAATGGAAGTTATCACCATTTTTAACAGCTAAAACAACATTCTCAATGGGCTATTTTCAGTAGCTGACCGTCAAATTACCAGAGAGTATCATATCATTAACCATTGTTATAACCATTATTATCCATTATTCACCACTATTAACCACTATTAACCACTATTGACTATGGTTAATGCACTGCAGCGCTTCGTCAAAAAAAAACTCCGCCTTTGGAGTTGCTTCCTCCACTGACAGGGCGATGTTGCACATGTCGATCTCAGCACGAAGCGATTCGCCGGTGATAAAGCTACAACGGTTGCGAAAAGCGAAAAATGGGAAAATCCATGGGGAAATGCTGGGAAATCCATGGGAATATCATAGGGGTAGAATGAACATGATATAGCTGGAGATAATTGCCTCCGGTGATTTCTTAACAGTTTGCTATGGTAAATATGGTCTAGTTCGATCTTTTACCTCTTATCCCTATCTTTTTGGCCTGGTTCATGAAGCTACCGCTTTAAATACTTCAACACTCATCTTTGTTTAATAGCCATAACTTGGCTATCCCCCCATTTTCAGAAACGCGCAACTAGCTAAGTTGAGCAGATGAAGTTATTTCACTAGATTATGATATATATATATATATATCGAACTAGACAATGGGGTGAACATCAACTAACGTTCATATCACGTGTGTTTTCACACCACTCTCTGGCCGCACGGAGATTTCTTCACCATTTGCGGTCGATCATTGCGCTTCTGGACCATTGTCCAGTGCTGCAAGGATGGCATAAGAGGACGGGCAGACGGGCAGAGGACCTTTGAGAAGGCAAAGGCACTGTTCCACTTGAAAAAAATCCGAAAATTTCGGAACCCAGCATGAACATATATGATATGATATATTTTTTTTGTCTTTCTAACTTTCTGCTTCCTTGACATTTCAATAATAATCATCTGATATAAGCCAGTTAGACTGATGGAACAGTAGACTCAGCGATAAACCAGACGTAGGATTCGAAGGATGCAGCCCTAGTTGGATGTGAATACAGTCAGTAAGTGGTCTATCACCCCTTCTAACTGGGAGTATCCCATATGGCCGTATTATAAAGATATAATCATATATGTATATATCATATATCTCTATCTAACTGGTGTATTTCATAACTGGAACTCCACTCCATTTGGTAAGTGTGAGTTAGCTAAGTGGTTTTCATAAGTGGACTAGATGCCACACAGGATGGTGTCCCCCAGTTATAAGTTGGTTTTAAAAGCCCATCAACTAGTTCGTTAAATCTACCATAAACCATAGAATTAAGCCACAACCATATCTCAACTGAACGCTATCTCGGGGGCCCCATCCTGTATGATAACCAGTGAAGAAGGGATATAACCTAATTATTAACCGATTGACTACCTCCCCAGCCCATCCACGATCACCCCTTTAGCTGGGGGGGACCAGGTCCAAATGTAAGATACCTTTTTTTCAAGGTGTTTTTTTTTTTTCGGGGGCCTTGAAAAATGTAAGCCTACCATGAACATCCATTAACATCCATTAACATCCATTAATATCCGTTACCATTCATTACCATTCATTACCATTCATTACCATTCATTAACATCAGATAATAACCAATACTAAGCATCATGAAACTCATCTTCAATCATCAAAAATCATCAGGAATCATCATTAATCTTCTGGATCATAATGACCGTAACAACCGTTCATAACATCCAGAAGTGGCGAAAAATTTGCTCAACTCATCGCCTTAAGGTCTTCCCCAAATCGTGGTCCAGCACCCGAGGCTTGAGGTTAGCGGCTGAGCCGCCCAAAACAGGATCTCCCCGTCGCCAAGCATACCCAAAAAGTTGGGGTAACCAAAAGGGAAGTACAAAGGGGGATCCCCAAAATGGCACTCAATATATGGTAAATGGAGATATTGGGTTTCCATAAATGGGGGATACCCCAAAATAGATGGTTTATATCATGGAAGATCCTATTTAACGGATGATTTAGGGCTACCCCCATTTCAGTAAATCTCCATATAGATAGCGTTCAGTTGGGGTTCACATAACTCCAATTTCACTTGGGTTTATGGTAAATATATCTATACTCAATATTAATGGGGTTTATAAACTAACCTATAACTGGGGGGCACCACCTTGTACATGCGGGATGAAGAAAATTTACCAACAAAATTTGCAATTTGAGATGATTTCATCAACAATTTCGGGAATCTGCGGAAATAGACACCAAAACATGTGGTTGTGTTTGAAAATGGCTCCACCCAAACTTGCCATTCAGGGAAACATGAAAATAACCAGTGGAAATACCATCTGATAATTTAACAGTTCGCTATCGAAAATGACCCATTTATAGATGACTTACCAACAAAAAATCCACTTCAAAACATAGTGATTTTCCCATTGCCATAGTTATTGTTTATTGCCAGAGGAGAAGGGATACCCTTTTTTAGGACAAACCCAAATCTTTCTGCTCGCTTTCACGAGAAATTCCGGGTATATCCAGCCCGATGAGAGATCGAGAGATCGATGAGCTAAACTCCATGTCGAAGAATTTGCTCTACAGGTGACCTACCTAGCCGCAGGGCAACCTTGGATAAACTGCATCCCTCAAAGTTTAGTGGGTGCAGGATATCAATTTTCCAGGTTGCCAGATGTTGCCAGCTTGCAGTTCCTCCATCAAAATGGAGATCAAACCACAAACACCCATAAACAAACGCTGATTTACCCAGCTTGCATCAACTGCCGACCATCGGCTTTTTCGAATGGAAACAAATCTCAACAACAACCAACTTGCGGTTTTGTCGGCTCACATTGGGCCACAGATACTCTTGCAAATGAAACATGGGAGCAGAAACTCGCAGCGCCGAATGCACTGGTTGTTGGTGGTGTAGACGACCATTTGACCACTTGGCCATGTGGTGTAGTACCAATCCAAGAATCTCCTAGGCCAAGGTCGTGGCTGGTGGTTTGCACCCCTCATTGGACATCATCATCCCAAATGACCGGTTGGTCAAAATGTGTTCTTCTGGTTTGGTTGATAAATCGTCAACGATTTTTGGCAAATGGTCATCGAAGGAAGTTTGGAAGTCAAACTTCCGACAATATGGAGAGATGAAAAAGCAGTCAGCAGGGAGAAGAGTCAGAAGAGAAAAGATCAGAAGAAAGAAGATGCAGGTGCGCGAAAAGGTAGGAAAGTCGCGAAACACTGTGTTTTTTCGTGGTTTTGTGGCTCCGGAGGGTTGAAAAGTAGGCTCGCTAAAGCGGCGGGTGCGGAGACATCTGGGGAGATGAGAGATGAAAAGTTGCACGCCGTTGTGGCGCGAAGCACATTTTGAAGTCAAAATGTACAAAACACACCATTGTCGGACCACTTTTGGAACTTGAGATGTTGAAAAAGTGCACGGCGTTGTGGCGCGAAGCACATTTGGAAGTAACATGTGTTAAAAACTGAGGGGTTCGGAGCAGTTTTGGAAGTTGAGATGTCGAAAAAGTGCACGTCGTTGTGGCGCGAAGCACATTTCCAAGTCAAACTGTACAAAACACACCATGCTCGGACCACTTTTGGAAGTTGAGATGTCGAAAAAGTGCACGCCGTTGTGGCGCGAAGCACATTTCCAAGTCAAAAATGTACAAAACACACCATTCTCGGACCACTTTTGGAAGTTGAGATGTAGAAAAAGTGCACGCCGTTGTGGCGCGAAGCACATTTCGAAGTCAAAATGTACGAAGCACTACATGTTCGCGCCACTTTTGGAGGTTCAGATGTCGAAAAAGTGCACGCCGTTGTGGCGTGAAGCACATTTCGAAGTCAAAATGTTAAAAACACCAGGGGTTCGGACCACTTTTGGAGGTTGAGATGTCGCTTCGCTTCACTACACTACATTACACTACACTCCACTACACTACGCTCCACTACACTACACTACATTACACAACACTACAACTACAACTCCACAACTACACTCCACTACACTCCACTACACTAAATTACACTACACTACACTACATTACACTACACTCCACTACGCTACATTACACGACACTGCACTACCTTCCACTACACTTCACTACATTACATTACACTCCACTACACTACAACTACAACTACACAACTACACTCCACTACACTACATTCCACTACACTCCACTACACTAAATTACACTACACTACACTACATGACGCTACACTACACTCCACTACACTACACTACATTACACTACACTACCTTCCGCTACACTTGACTACATTCCACGACACTACACTCCACTACACTACAACTACAACTACAACTACGACTGCACAACTTCACTCCACTACACTCCACTACACGAAATTACACTACACTACATTCCACTACACTCCACTACACTACATTACATTACACTACATTACACTGAATGACACTGCACCACAGATAGACAGGTAGACAGATAGACAGATAGATGGACAGACAGGTAGACAGCTAGACAGATGAAAGAGAGAGAGAGAGAGATAGATAGATAGATAGACAGATAGGTAGATAGGTACATAGGTAGGTAGGTAGATAGGTAGATAGGTAGATAGGTAGATAGGTAGATAGGTAATGAGATGAAAGAGAGAAAGAGAGAGATAGATAGATCGATAGATAGATAGATACATAGAAGATAGGCTGGTAGGTAAGTAGATAGTCAGAGAAAGAGAGAGAAAGAGAGGAGACCTCAAGCACCTTTCGGTCCATCAGTGGATTCGCTCTGCCATCCCTGATTCACAACAGCCAAGCTCTCCTATAGGTTTCCTATTTTTGAAACTTCCGCCGCCGCCTTGTGCGGTACTACTGGAATATGCTTGATACCCGCTTTGAAGACAGCAACCAGACAGGTCCTTTTTTAAACTAAACCATCCATTTTTGGAGTTTTGACCCATACACAATGTTGCGATTTTGCCCCCTGGACCAATTGGTCGTACCCCTCCCCCTAAAAGAAATGAGTGGTAGAGCCAAAATCATCCCAAAAATGATGCAAGATTATTTGGCCGTATATGTTTGTCCAAGAATTATGCATACCATCAAATCAAGTGGTTTTAGAACCCTTTTCTTTCTATCTGCACTGCACCCTCTTTCATTGGCAATTTTTCTTGGTGTATATCGATTTGCTAAGCCAAATACAGGAACTTGCCTCGTTGGCAAACAAAAAGTGTGCAAGAGAACATGGAGAAGCTGGTCATCCGTCATCCATCCTATGATGGAAATCCTATGAAAATGTGTACCCGGCCTGGTAAACGTTTACATAACGAACTGGAACATCACCATGTTTAATTGGAAAATCCACGAACTTTCTATGGGCCATTTTCAATAGCTATGTAACAAATTACCAGAGGGGATATAAATCCTGTGAACATGTTTTTTTTCACCACCAAGTTTTCACCATGGCAGATGAGTTTCACAAAAACACAAATACTGATTCGGCGAGCCAGTTGATGCTCTGGATTGGCCAAGGGGTTTAGAATGGCACTGTAAATACGACCCCCCCAAAAAGATGGTGGTTTTCCATAGTTAATAGTGGTTAATAGTGGTGAATGGATGGTGAAAAATGGATAATAATGGTTTAATAATGGTTAATGATATGTTTCCCTCTGGTAAACTAACAGTTCGCTATTGAAAATGGCCCAGTCGAAATAGTGGATTTTCCCATGAAAAATGGTGATGTTCCATACTTATGTAAACGGTTACCAGAGGGTAAGCTGGAGAAAATATCAACATATTCCCAGTTATAGCAAAAGGATGCAAAAGGTTTAAGATATACTAAGCTACTGATTCAGTGTTCCCAGGAACAGTTCATCCTTCTTTGCTATTTTTAGCTACTTCGACAATTCCAAAGCACCACACCAAACCAGTACTGGAACAATGAATCTCCCGCATGAGTAGATGATTACAAATTGGACATGTGGTTAATAGCTATTTGCAACTCACAGACACATATATATATATAATATGTATATATCTATGTATATGTATATATCTACATATACGCATATATATATATGATTATATGTATATGTATATGTATATGTATATGTATATGTATATGTATATGTATGTGTATATGTACATGTACATGTATATGTATATATACATATATATATATTATGTAAATATTTACGTATATGTATATATATATATATGATTATATGTATATGTATATGTATGTGTATATGTACATGTATATGTATATGTATATACATATATATATGTATGTATATGTATATGTGTATATATATATAGACATATATATATATGTTATATATATTATATATATATGTATATATTTACAGTACGAGTATATACCTATACATCCATTCGTACTAGAAAAAAGTACCCCCAATGGGTTTCGTACCAGTGTTCATGAAAACGCATGACACGCAGCGTTCATATTTTTCGCCGTTGCCATTGGAGCCCAGAAGAGCTCCCCGCGGCTACCTGCCGCTAGTCCATGTCATCCATCGAAGACTGCGCTCTCTGCGTCTGCTGTTCAAGGGTCACTTCTTGGTTTTCAAACTCTGTCAAAAAAGTGATCTTCGTCTAGTTTTTTGTTGAAAGGTATTACTTTTTAGGGGCACCAAGCACAAACGGACAGAACAACATTTTGCGACACTCGAGCGAAATCTTGCGCCGCGTCTGAACAGATGGTGCCCTCTGGTAATTCAGCATAGCTATGGAACATAGCAATGTGGGTCAAACAATAATAAACCACCCATTTGGGAATGGTTTATACAACCTATTTACGGTGAAATTGGGGATTGTTTATGATTGTTTTTACCTACATTAGATGATTTACTATGATAAATGACTATTTTAGCTACGTGAAATTACAAGAGGGTGCTATAACCATGGTGAACCTTAAATAACGTGGCAATAATATGCAAGAAAAACTATTTTTTAGCTGGTTAGCACATTTTACCATTGATAGCAACAAATTAAAGTACTAAAGTATCTAAGGTTGACCCAGTAACGCAAAATCTCCCACATTTCCCACATTTAGGGGTTTATTAAAATGGGGGTACCTCCAAATCATCCATTTCTAGTTAGGATTTTCCATTAGAAACCACCCAGCTATTGGGGATTGCACATGACTATGGAAACCTCCATATTAACCACTATTTAACCATTGTTCACCATTATTAACCACTATTGTCCCATGCATTTGGTGATCCGATTGATCGCTGCAGCCTGCAGCTAAGCTTCTGCCACTGCACCGGGTGTGGCGTGCCATCTTCGTAGATAATGCGACGCAGAACGTACACTTCACGCAGCCACTCATCATCGCTGATCCTGGCGTGGAGCCATGGAAGTCAGCGGTTGCCAAACCGGATCTGTTGGATGGGAAATGACGAGAATATTTCGGGCATGTTTGAAAAAAAGGGATCCAAAATGATCCAAAGCTCAAATTCAGGAACAAAACCAAAAATTAGAGGGAATGAATGGGATTTCATTGATGCTAGCTACATGAGGGAACCAAATTTCAGGCATATGTTTGGTTTAGATCTGCAATGATCACCTCTCCAACCTTAGATTCCGTGATCCTCTTAGTGGGACATTCCATTCTTCAACCGAGATGACTACAAAAAATCCTTGAAGCTCCTGTTCCCCAGTCTCTTTTCCCCCTGGAGACGCTCGGGTGAACAAAAAATTGGTGTAAGCATACGATTTCAACCCCCCATAATTTATGATATGGGCCCCCCTACAGCTATGGTGAAATATGCTCCCCCTTAGCTCACTTTGAACTCAGTCAGGTAGTGAACCCATGCCTGAACTGAATGTGGGTGTGTCTGAACATGGGATATACGCCCGCATACAGTAGATGGACAAAATATTCAAACCCTGCAGCACTCACTATGTTGAACCCCCGCACCCCCAAATCTCAATGTTTCAGCGCGCGTGTTACCAAAAGTGATGTTAGGGGTTTGATTTTTTTTTCGTCCATTGGGGCTAATGCATTGCAGGTTACATTAACACTGAACTTTGGGGGCAAGGGGGTTGAACGGTTGTACCGAATAGAAGGGGTTTTAATATTTCGTCCATCTACGGTAGGTATCTTAAGGGGAAATTGTTCTAATGATCTCCATGATAATTCAGGGCTATTTTCAGACAAACCTATGAATGGAGTGCAACTTGGTAGTGATCAGAACCTGAAGCCGCTCATACTGTTTGCCGCAACTTTGGATAGAATTTCATTCTCCACTGTTGGTGACATCCTGATTCTTGTGGTTTGATATGACACTTTGCATTGTGCAAATTCAACCAATCCCCCAAAGCTGAACCCCCCAATGAAGTTAACGTTCTGGGTTTCTGATCAGCAACAACCACTAAATCCAGGGCAAATGTTTATCATATTTCTTTTTTCCATGTCGCCGCAGTTGGGAAGGTGATCCCATTACATTAATCAGATTATATCCCATAATATCAATCAGATTATATCATATATATATATATCCCATCTAATTGGTGGTATACCTACCCTCCTGAAAAATATGAGTTCGTCAGATTGGATCATCATCCCAACTATGGTGGTTTCAATAAAATTCATGTTCCAAACCACCAACCAGCCATTATTTCATAGCAATGGATTTGTTATCGCCCCATGTTTGTTCAACGAAGATCCTGGTGAATCAACGGCCCCAATGATCAGCGAAGATCCTAGATTTTGTTGGTAAATTCCAATGAAATCTCATCTTACTGGTGCGTTTTACGTAGGGAATGGATGGGTTGCTGGGGGTTGCTGGGATGATGAAATTGATAGTTAGCCAGTGGATCATTCCCTCATATTCCCGAAAATTCCCTACGTTTAGCACAAGTAAGTCATGAAATTCCATGAAATAATCCCTGAACAAATCCCATGGAATTCTGTGAAATCCCATGATTCATCGCATCGAATCCCGCGAAAACCGCGAAACCGCGAGCTTCGCCAAGGCGCTTTTCAAAGGGGAAAATGTTGTCACCAAAGGTGGTTTCGTCCACCTGGGGAATTCGTGCCACCCCCCGTTGGGTATGAATAAACAGCCCCTATGAAAAATAGGGAAATTAATGGTTTACTAGGGAATGCTTATTCTACTGGAAATTACTATGAAGAATAGGGAATGTTTATTCTAGAAAGCATGGTTTAGTAGGGATTTTCTATATAATTTGGGACCATTTAGGAGGTGTTTAATAGTTTGATATTAGAATTAGAAGGATGGAACCAAGGCTTTCTGAGAGGACAAATATCTCAGAAACTGGCAAACCAATTTCCTTTTTTTCCATGTAGAAGTGGGTCAGAAACTGTGTGAGCCTCCTGTACATATGAATTAGATACGATCCATCCGATGTTTATTGACCAACACGAAACTGATGTAGAGGTGCAACCTTTGTAGGTCTAGAGGGCAATCACTGCGTATCTTACACCGTAGACTTCAAAGTGTTCTTGCACAGGATCAACCAATTAAAATCAATCAATGAACTACTTATCAGTTGGTTTTGCTTCAAATGAATGCGGGCGTCTCCTATCTTTCTGGCTGACATACAGCAAGGTCAGCAACCACAATCAGGGTGAATTTGGCATATTTCCTTTCTCTAACAACATGGCACATCCAATACTCATCCGAAGCAACATTTTCAGTCTTATGAGGTATCCAAAATCCAAGTGGTGAAACTCAGTCTGGTCCGTGCATGAACCATCACTGGTTGGTGGTCGAGCCCTACCCCTCTGAAAAATGATGGAGTTCGTCAGTTGGGGTTTCGAACTTCCCAATATATGGACAAACATGTTCCAAACCACCAACCAGATCATGTATGGTGATGTCTTATTCTCGTGAGCTTTTAACTTTTTCAACCAACTGATTCTTTCGAAAACAGGATCTGCCACGGCAACAACCAATGGGATATGATTGGATATGAGGATATGATATTATCTGGGTAAATTATAATATTTCACTAACCTGAATTAAGGCCATTTGGGGATGATTTCCCTTATTAACCATGATTCCAGTGAGGTCGCAGTGAGGTCGCTATAATTTACCCAGATATTATTCAAGTGGACAGTACCATGAATCTAAAACAGCTATGGCAGCTATGGTATATTCATGGTCCATGACAGTAGATGATTCAGCTACTACTCGAGTAGTGGCTTTCCATAGCTATGTTGGTTTACTGGAGGGTATTTATAGGGAGTTATTGGGACTCAAACAACATATTCAATTTATGAGGTATTTGATGAACATTTATTGGGAACTGGGAACTGATGGGGAATTTCTTGAGAATTTATCCTCTGGTAAACTAACACAACTATGGAAAATCACCATTTTTAATAGGTAAATCAACTATAAATGGGCCATTTTCAATAGCTATGTTAAATTACCAGAGGGTATATAGCGGGAAGTTCCTCATCATTGAATCTTCTATGATTCAATGGCTTTGCCTCTAGGTGAACACATCAAGATCTGGTCATAGAACGGGGTATCAAAAGCATTATTTTTTGGACAAACCCAAAACACAAACCGTGGCCATTTCCGCTGCATTTCCGTTTTTTCGCTCTGTCAAGAATGTTGTAGAGGTTTCGACAAATCACCAAAAATAAAAGACAACTACTTGACTGTTTGACATGGGGTCTTCATGGCATGTTTATAAATGCAAAGAGGCGGGGGGGTCATTTGATCCCTCGGTAAATGAATTGGGGGTATCCCACTGTTGGTTCTGCGTGCCTTTGTATCCCCAGTATATTCGCAGGAAATATAGCGTAGGATGGCTGCTCATGTACCCAAATGCACTTCCAATGGCTGGCTTAGAATATTATCTACATTTTCTACCCTCAATTATACCAATAAGAATATACTACCCATAACATCTCTATGTAATCACGACAAATCCCTACTGTTGATGATTCTAAAACTCCTACTTGTTCAAATGTTATCTTATGCCCCATAGTATCCTATATATACTATTCTTTACTATGAGAATTCCAATGTATGTCAGCATTTACTAACTATGAGAATCCCATGCTTCAATCCTCATTATATATATATATAATAATGTTAACTTATATCCCCATATCTGGTGTCCATGTATAGGGATATAGAATTATATTAATTATATCACCTTTGTATGTTAACTTATATGGAGGTTTCCAAACATGGGGATACCCATTTAACATCATTCATTAAAAAAAACAGATTTTCCGTAAGATATAAACCATATAAACCATCTATTTTAAGGGGTATCCCCCATGACTATGGAAACCCTCTATCCTAGTTATTTCAGTGGATTTACCCTAGTTATTTCAGTGGATTAACCTTACAAACATCCCACTATATCTCAACCAGGGTGAACTACCCCATTGACCAATATCTCCATATACCATATATTAAGTGCCATTTTGGGGATCCCCCATGACTATGGAAACCCCCATATGGCCCCACTTTGTACTTCCCTTTGTGGAAACCCAAGCCCATTGACCATATATTAACTGCTTCAATCCTCATCGGCTAAACAAAAAGGGCCACTGGATCGATTTCTGCGTAGGAGCTGTTGACCTATGGGGATGGGACGGTGGGTGGATCGAATACGTCAATTTTAGAGGATCATAGAATTTAATAATCTGGGTAACAGATGGGGGAAACCCCATAAATCTAAGTTAATATTATGGTGAGTGATAAATAATGGTGATTCATAGTGATTATATTGATAATTGTTAATAGTGACTAATAGTGATTAATAGTGCTTAATATAGCTATATATAGCTATCTGGGTAAATTATAATAATTCACTGAACTGAATTACGGCCATTTTGGGATGATTCCTCTTATAAACCATGATTCCAGTGAGGTCGCAGTGAGGTCGTTATAATTTACCCAGAATAATGGTTGATCATGTAAATGGAATTTCACGCAAAAAATGGGAAGTCAAACATACATAGTTACCCTCTGGTAAACATACAAAAATCTATGAAAAAAAGGCATTTAATGGCATTCAACGGGATTTTTGTCATGATTAATGGTGGTTTTCATGGTGGAATAGCCTCTGGTTTTCATCATGTAAGTGATGGTCAATCCTATAAACCCCGGATTAAAAAACCCTAGGCCTTACTATGGTTTCAGTGATTTTTTGTTTATTTATTGCTATTTCAAAATTTCAGTTGCCCAATAGATTTGTGTTAATCAATAGATTTTAATTTCTACCAGTGATTGACCATTTATTGCTAGCATCCAAGATTTCCATGATTATGTCAATCTCCTGGATGATAGCATTTTTTCTAATCATGATGATTCATGGTAACTTGGAGGATTGTTACCATTTTTTCTCATGTATTCCTATGTCAACTATCTCCCCATGGATGATTCGACTGGAGGATCATCGACTGGAGCTGGTGCCCAGCCATGGTGAAGTGGAAGTCCAAGGCCATGGTCGTAGCAAGGCCCGCTTGCCATGGGGCTATTCTATCAATGGCCATGCAACAGGAACCGATTTATTGGAGGTACCGATTCCATATATAAGGCCTATGTTTCAGGCCTATGTAAGAGAATATCCCAACAAAATATGGCCTAAAATATGGTACTAACGTACCTCCATTTTAGGATCCTGAAATTCCCATTGAATTCTAAGCCATCGCTGGAAAATCCCAAGCCGCAAGCCATAACTGGGATGAATCACAAGTTTTGTTGAGATATACCCTCTGGTAAATTAACAGTTGGACCCTGAAAAATACCAATTTTTAGAGGAAACTAATCTTCCAACCCCTATCTACCGGGGTCTATGTTAATTTACTGGAGGGTAACTGGGATGAATCCAATATATAACTGGGATGTTTGTAAGGTGAATCCACTGAAATAACTAGGGTATATCCACTGAAATAACTAGGATAGAGGGTTTCCATAGTCATGGGGGATACCCCTTATCACAAGTTTTACTTATCCAATGACTGGGGGGCCAAGGGTCTTAGACAGATGGGATGATCAGTTGGTGGTATACCTACCCCTCTGAAAAATGATGGAGTTCGTCAATGGGAAGGATGACATCCCATATATGAAATGGAACATAAAACATGTTCCAAACCACCAACCAGATAAGTGGATGATTTAGAATATAATCCATGAAAAACCAATCCATTGATGAATATAATGGATGCTTTTTAATGGAAAATCCCACTCTAAAATGGATGAGAACTGGGGGTACCCCTATGGATGGGAAACCTCTTTATGGGAATGGCTCAAAACCTATGAAATTACCATATGACTGGGGGCATAAACATCCATTAACCAACTATGACTTAGGGTACCATCTGGGTCCTGGGCTTTTGACTCATTGCCATATAATTATAGTTCGTGGGGGTTATAAACCAACTTATAACTGTGGGGGCCCACGTTGCGTCTCATTTTTCGGCGGGTGCTAGATTGAGTAGGGGGGGTGCCATTGTTTCTTTCATGGAGACGACCTATCAACCATAGAAATAATTGTACATGGTGATATGTTCAACCAAGTTGGGTGTTTTTGAGATCAAAACTCGTCAGGTTTTTGAATGGGATATCTGGTAGCCTAAGTCATAGCTGGTGGATGGAGATTCCCCCAGTCATATGGTAATACCATGGGTAATTTCATAGGTTTTGACCCATCCCCACATGGGGATGGGTCAAAACCCTGGTACCGTGCCGTGAACCCCAAAATAGCTGGGATTTATGGATGTTCATCCCACTAAAAATGGTATGTATAGGTATTGATCCATAGCCACATAATTGATAGGTACCCGATGGTAACCAAATGTCGAACTGACACAGCTAACGTCAGAACGAAGCTAAAGGCATGCCTTTGAGGAAACTGTGCAGGAAGTGGCCCTCAAACCATACGTTTCTGTTGGCTTATCACCAGCCTTACTGGGGGTTGAACAGGTAGACATACGTATCCTTCAAAAAAGAAGGAAGTTTCCTAAGATGCGTGTAGCCCTAAATCATCCAATCTAATCGGATTTTCCAGTACACACCATCCATTTTTTGATCGATTGTGGGGGTACCCTGAAACCCTGGGATAGTTTCTCGGATATTATTACATGGCCAATCTGAGATACCCTGCAAAAAACATAAATTCGTAGCTGGTGAACGTAGACAATCCAATACCAAAAGACTAGTTGGGATTAGTTTCTACCCATCCAATCGATTGACCAAGGATATCAAATATCAATGCACCTAGCTATTTTTTCTGTTTAACCCATGGGGTTTTCCATTGATCATGTCGCCATCCACGTGATCGATCAAAACGTTTTCATTGTCCGTTGATCTACTTGTTTTCTTTGGGAAGGGTACTTAACCAGCCAAACAATCAATGGCCATGTCAGGTTCCTAAATTGGAGCTACCTACCATATATAAGGCCTATATAAGGATCCTGAAATTCCCATTGACACAATGAATACATTCAAAAATGTCACAGATATTTCACGAAAACAGTTGGAGAGACAATCCTGCGGATGCACGCTGCATATGGTGGATATCACCAAGCTCATATCACGAGCCAAGATGACTTGGACAATGCTGGAACAATACATTTTGTGGATGCCAAATCACAATTTCATCACAGAAAATGCTTCAGGCAATATATAAAAAAATGTGGTTTTCACCTATAAAAGGATGTTTGCGAGGTTCTACAACCCAAAGTAACACTGGGCATTGTAGACATGCTTGCCCATTGATTCCATTGGCTTTATCAGAAATAATCCATCGATTCAGGTCTGCTTGAGGACCCACAATTCCATAAGGAATGTTCCCTACAGGATGGTGCCCCTCCAGTTATGTTTGTTGGTTTGTAAACCCCATTAACTATAGCTATATCTACCATAAACCATAGATTTCAGCCACTTATATCCCAACTTAGCTATCTTGGGGGCCCCATCCTGTAAACATATCACATAAACAATGGCACAATCCCGGGAATAGCTCTACTTCAGGTACTTAAACTGGCCATTGACTATGTTTGCCAATACATAAAAAAATCATTGGTAAGTGGCGAATCTTCCCATCTTGTCTTAGCATCAAGTTGTCACCACATTTCTGAAATTTACTGACCATGCAATGCTTCATGTTGTGTTTGGACCACATCCTCTGCAATTTTTTTGAACCTCTCTCGAAAAATTGTGACAATTTGGTAGTCCATCAACAAATGCCAGCTGTTTAGTTATTTAGTGATGTTCCCTTGATAGCAAAAAACCTAAAGGATTAGTTTCACCTATTCAGTGTTTTGGGGATGTCTTAACGAAATCAAGCGGCAAACATGAAGTCATGAGTTTCATCTACGGTGCTGATGAAGTTGTACCATCCCCTGAGCGGCGCGGTAGGCGCATCAATTCAGACAGCCCGAGACCGAATATGGGGATTTGGTTGGGGGGTAGAATTTCCAGGAATAACATCTAACAATACTGGTTGGTGGTATACCTACCCCTCTGAAAAATATGAGTTTGTCAGTTGGGATGATGAAATTCCCGATTCTAGATCATGAAACCCTGTTTGTTATGGGGGGGGTTGGTAGTCCAGCCTTCTGTGGATAAGAGTGACTTTGGAAGGCTGACTGGAAATCTAGGGCTTTGAGGAAATTTCCGTTGATGCTGGAAAAAAACTCCCTCGGAAATTTCCAGATACTGGAGGGGTCCATTCAAAGTTCACTAGAGTTACTAGAGGAAGAACCATGAGTCCATGTGACATGAGGCTGGCGTTTTCAACGCGAAGGATGTGTGGTTATCTTTGATCTCGCGACGTGTATCAGGTTGGAGGTGGAATGTCAAAATGTCACCTTCCTCAGATGATCTCTGTTGAAAACAACATTCCACAACATTCCATGTCCATGAATACCCTCTGGTAAACTAACATAACTATGGACAATCACCATTTTTAATGGGAAAAAACACTATTAATGGGCCATTTTCAATAGCTATTTTGACATAACCAGAGGGTATCATGAATGATGGCCTCAGTGTGTGGAAACCTGGAAACCTGGCATCCACTGACACTGCACATGTGCTATGGTTCTCTCACTGCTTTGCAACCATTGACAATTTCTGCTTGGTTGTTCTGTAATGGCTAAAGAAAACCAAAATCAAAAAAAAACAAAAAAACAAGAAACAAAAAAAACAGAAAAACAAAATGACAAGACCCAACTCTCTGCCACTACTCCTCCCTTGGGGTGTGCAATCTTGTTTTTTTTTGGCTTTTTTTTTTTTGTTTCTTAGTTTTTGGGTTTCTTGGTTTTCTGGTTTCTTGGTTTTTTGGTTTCTTGTTTTCTGGTTCGTTGTTGGTTTTTTGAAGGGCTAAGGACCTAGACCTAACTCTTTGCCACTTCTCCCACTTTAGGGGTTGCAAACTTGCTTTTGGTTGATTTTGTTATTTGCTTTGGGCCTGTGGTTCCATTAGAAAACACATTTACAAAAAACTATGGCAAAATGCAGCAATCACTGGAGGAAGCTTGGGGGGCGTGGGACACAAATTAGGCAATTTTGTCTGCTTATGTAATCTTTCAAAAACGGTGTTGAACAAATGCAAAAAACATAGGCAGCCAATGAATGTGTAGAACAGATTTTGATATTGACATTCTTGGCTCAAACCCTTGGATTAGCACATGTTCAAACACTTTGAAAGATTCCCTTGAACAGGAGTGATGCATCTCTTTGAAGTGAGCGCTTCCTTCAACAAGTGCATTTCTTTTATAAAATGGTAGAGCCCGGTAGAGAATCCCATTGAAGTAGGTCATGTCTTAGTCTACTTCTATGTCAAAAATGCTCCCTCTTGTATATGCAATACCCTTTTCACAATATATTTTAAATGAAGAACACATGGTACATGTAAGCATGTGAGATATGTCTTTCACAATTGCACACCATTTTGCTGAATGCATAATGGGATATTCTTCCAAGACAACGCACCCTATTTTGGGAATAACACCCTTTGGTGTAGGCAGTTCCCAACTTGAAAAATATTGAAATTTGAAGAATGTGCATGTTTAAATCTTAAAGCAATCAAACATTGTTTGAACATATGGTAGTGCTCACCATTTCAAACATATTGCGCTTTTGAAAGGGATGCCCTATGCCAATAATACTGCATATATCATGCAGAAATATTGACTTTTCTAAACGGGGTACTGCTCCTTTGAAAGGAGGGTTAGACATCTGGAAATACACACTGCACTCCTTCAAAGGGCATGGTACAACTTTTCAAGGAATACTTCATATTTTGTGTGGATATTGTCCCTGTAAAAATACACTGCATTGCCCCAAAGGAAGATTACTATTATTCAGAAGGATATGTTTGATTTCAATACTGCATTTGTTGGCAGGTATGGGGATGTTGTAATTATGTTGAAGTCATCGAGTCATCTAGCATATTCTGCAGAAATTATATTTTGTTGAAGGGACAACATAGTAGCATTTATCTAAGGTAAAATGATCACCTGGACACTTCTTCAAGCAATACATGCTCTCTAGTGACCTAGTGGACATCAACACATCTTCATCTGTAGCTTAAGCTTTAATATGATTACGTTTTTGAAAAAAATAAATAAACAAGTGCACTCCCACAGCGTCCTGCTCTCCATATAAATGGGTCATATAATATGATATAACAGTGTATATATATATGTGTATATATATATATTAATGATATATGTGGGTTGGCCCCACAAGTTTCGTTTGTTGGTGTTAATCAACCCGATTTTCTATAGTTATTTGCGTATCATAAACCATAGTTATTGGGGAAATCTATCAGCGAACTGCTATTTCATGAGATCCGGTAGGGATATTTTGCATGGCTCGGGGGGGATACCAAACATACATCAACCCCTTGGTAACTTGTTATAGTTGGCTATGGGCCATAGGTTTCATAAATCATCTATAACTGGGTGAATAATCTGTTTTTAATAGGCAAATTAACCAATATTATAGATTGGATTTAGATTGGATTTAATGGAGCTAATTGATGGGGATAAGGATTTACCCATCTGGGGCGAATTTCTTGGGAGACACCACCTGGTAATTTCTTCCAGCTTGCGAAAATCATCGAAATTTTGATAGGTTTCTATCATGGAACTCAATGGGCCCCAAAAACCGTGGTCAATCTTTGGTCCCAAAAAAGAATCTTTTGCTGGTTATGTTCCATCTATAGCAAAAAAAACTAAAGAATTAGTTTCTACCTATTCAGTGTTTTGGGGATGTCTTAACGAAATCAAGCGGCGAACATGAAGTCATGAGTTTCATCTACGGTGTTGATGAAGTTGTATCATCCTCTGAGCTCCAATATACACATACACATATTACATTATATTACATTACATTACGTTACGTTACGTTAACTTACATTACATATACATATATATATATATATACATATAAAATATATGATGCGTATCTTGAAGAAAAGCCATGCTCTAAAAACCCCAGGTCGTTTGGTTGGCGAGGCACATCACTATACGACCAAAGATGGAGTCTGACCAGGTCCATTGACCTCCGACGTGCCGTGGTGGGGAGTATAGAAAGTGGCTGGTAACAGTAGTAACCATGTACATAATATATATATATATACATATGTATCATATATATATAGAATATATATATATATGTATAGAATATATATAAATATATAATTATATATATATACATAATATACATATATACATATATACAATATACATATATACAATGTATATATAATATTTACATTCCATGAACGTGTTGTCACCATGGTTGCAGGTATGTTTCATGAAGAGAAATCATCTATAACGCATCTGTAAATATCATGGGAAACATGGTGAACACCAACCATCAAACATGGGGGAGAAATGGAGGTTTAGCCTCGAAAGTTGGGAAAAGGGGGACGCCAATATTGCGATGGGAATGTCATGGAATCTGTAAATTAGTTCCATGAGACTCCCATGATATCTATAGATGAATTCTAGATGGGCTTTCTTCATGAAATATACCTGCGACCATAGTGAATCTTAGATACCTGTCAAGAAATCTCATTTTTAGCTGCAAATATACATAAATTACCATTGATAGCAAAAGATTAAAGTACAAGTTCGTATCTAATTAGTCGCTTCACCCATATATATATATATTATTATATATACAGGGTTACTACCCATTTACGGGTTACTATACATTTAGGATCTGTGGGATGATCCCTAGTACAGCAGGGTGGGAACCCATGTCGAGTCTGTCACAAGTAGGCAGCAACGGCACTCCAAACATCTCCAAACCATGGCCCAGATGGCATCGAAGGATGTGCCAGGCCAAAAAACGCGCAAGTCCACAGTTTCAATGTTGGCCAGGCCAGGCCAGGCCCCGCCGGTGAAGAACATCAAAGTCGTCCGAAGTCATAGGGTTCTTACTGGTTTCACCATGGATGCGGCTTTTCCCACTGATTTTCCCTAGAGCTCCCTGCGGTTTTTCTGGACCGCGCTGGGTGCGTACTCTGAATTATGAAATCTGCGTGAGCCAGGAGAATATTTGTATATATATAGGAAACATTAATGGGAATTCCTCTGTTCTCTGGAGGTTTCAATGGGGTCATTTTCAACTCAACCAGGGATGTTTGCCATGATTCACTGGATTCACCCCCTTCTGGGATTTTCGTACCATTTTTTCTGAAAAAAGTCACATCGTTGTAGAAGCCCTTGAAAAATTCGATGCCACCGGAAACGGGGGTGATATGGCAACTATGTGGTGATGTAAACTCCCATAGAGTTGTGATGCCATTTTAGGAAAGCTTTCACCCCCCCAGAACTCCAAGAATTTCCAGGATTCCAGTGGAGATAGTAACGGTACCCTCTGGTAAAACGAACTGGAAAGATCCACCATTCTGCTGGGTAAATCAACAATTTCGACTGGGCCATTTTCCATAGTTATGTTAGTTTACCAGAGCATTCTATAGCTGGGTAAATTTTCACTATATTTCGACGAAAGGGCCATTTTCCAGTTCGCGAACTGTAAGCGTGGAAACCAGGCCGGGTAATTATGAAGGGAGGATTCCCAAGCGAGTTTCTCCACGTTCCGCACCTGCCAAGTTTGTCGGCATCATGAGATGCGCTGGGAAGGGTCCCTGGCCAGCGCCGCCGGCGAAGGAAACCAGCTGCCTGGGAGCCGAAGACCCGTGAAGGCCCAAGGCCGGTGAAGGGCGGGCAACACATGGGGATATCATGGAGGTTAAAAGGAAGCAATTTATCTGGATGAATTGGAACGAGTTTATAATCCATCTATAAGTCTATATAGTCTATAAGCCTAGAACCCAATAATGGGAATATTTTGTTGGGAATACAGTGAGAATATCATTGGAACATAAGAACATAATGGGAATGTACTGGAATATCATCAGATCTATACTATACTTTGTTTCTGGATGAATTACAATCATTCACTAACCTGAAAAGAACTGTTCTCATGCGGCCCACTAGGGGATGATTCCCCCCATACATTCATGACGCCACAACGTGAGTTCGTTACGATTCATCCAGAATTTATGCTTGGTGGTTCATCCCACTTAGTAAGTAGGTTATATCCCTGGTTTTTTCAGCGGGATAAGTAGGGTTAATCCACCGAAATAACTAGGGTGAACTAACCTACTTACGATCCGTGGGATGAGCCACCAAGTGGGAATATAATGGACATACTCGGATCAATATCGCTGTTTTCGTTGAAGGAAACCGGCCTTCTCCACATGCGGTGACGAAGTATACGAAGTTCTGTCTTCACCAGCCGGTCGGACCGGTTTGGCGCCATCTGAACTCAAGTTCATGTTAAGCCTGGATTCATAAACCCCAAACAGCTGTTTGGGAGGGTACCATTTATATATGAGATGAAATGACTATTGGAGGAGTACCCCCCTAATTGTCATAAACCATGGTATAGCAAAATCCGGGCTTGACATTAGGGGCCGACCATGATGATCTGCACCTCCCGGGCCTTCCGATCATCTTTTTCACCGCTGAAAGCGTGCCAGTTGGAATGTACCCTGATCATCCCTGATCTACAAATGTTTGGCTGCTCATATTGATTTGCTGGAAGATGAGAAAATCCCGCTGGCAATAAAGACGATTCATGTATAGATTATTTTCCCAATAAAACACACCTTGTCCGAAAAGGGGGTTGAATCTTACATGACCTTGTCCGAGACATTCGGATCGGTGGCCTTTAATGCCATTTACTGGATATGAGTTGAACATATGATGACAAACTATTGCTGGTTGGTGGTATACCTACCGAAAAATATGAGTTCGTCAGTTGGGGTTACTATTCCCAATATATGGAACAATCATACGGATATATGTATATATATATATTGGTTGGTGGTGCAATAACCATCTTGAAAAATGATGGAGTTCGTCAATGGGATGGATGACATCCCATATATTATGGAAAGTCGTAAAATTCATGTGGCAGTGTGTCAAAACCTTGTACCCCTGGTGAACATCAAAATAGCTGGTAAATGGATGTTCATCCCACTGAAAATGGTATCTATAGGTATTGACCCATACCCATGTTCCAAACCACCAAGCAGATTGGAATTGGGGCTACTCAGGCCAGGATGGGCCGTACCAATTTGCCAATTTCACGACTGGCGACTGGGCATCATTGGATGGTTCGATTTGGTGATGTGTCCCCATGAAAAGTTACCCAATGGAAATATTGAAATATGAGCTTTATAGCTTTATCATCATTTTCCGGTTAAAACTGGCCATTTTTTGGAGTAAACTGAGTAAACCGAGTTTTCAGACATAGCCAATCATAGCCACATCTCTTTTTGAAGAGTTGATAAATACCAGATGAACACCCATCCATTTGATTCATTTTCCCAAGATGCAAGATCATATTAACAATTATAGGCTTCGATCGGGCATCAGGGCATAAGCGAAATCATCCAGATGTTTGTTCGCCATAAAAAAGAAGTGCTTGGATCCCAGTCATGCCAATAAAATCTGTGCTTCTAGAGGGACATGTACCCTCTGGTAATTTGTTACATAGCTATTGAAAATGGTCATTTATAGTTGATTTACCTATCAAAAATTGTGATGTTCCATAGTTACGTTTGTTTACCAGAGGGTATATTCAAAATCTTATTATTATGTGTATATATATATACTGTGATCATTATTTGTGGATCACCCTTAGATGGAAGACCATACCGCATTCAACCCATAAATTGAAATTGACCATAGCGGCTAAGCTGGATTATAGCTCCAATACCTAGGATTTTCATGGGCTTTGTAAACCAACTTGTACTTGGCACCCCCAACATATATACAGTATACACACGTGTGTATATATATAATTATATATATACTTATATATATGTATAATGGGAACATCATGGGAATATACATATCAAATATGATATAGTTATCATATATATATATAATCTTTTTTTACCATTATGTATATAATCATGTATATATATATATATAAAAAAAATATATATCTTATATAATGACTCAATAATCAGCACATGAAAACCACGAAACCACAACTCGCTACGCTCGGCTTCGCTCGGCTTAGCTGCTCAATGGTGAAGGGGTTGCCATCCATCCACCAGGTACCTGTGAGATCGATGCCCAAAGCAGGATCGATGTTCCTCAGGGACTCAGAAATTGGGACCGGGACCTCAACGGGATCGGAATTTCATAGAGATTTATATGAGGTATCTTTTAAGGGTACTTTTCAGAGGGATTTTACGGGAATATCATGGAATATGAAACATCATGAAACGTATATATATATATATATATACACATGGATGAATGGCAATGATTCACTAAACTGAAATGTTGGGCCACATGGGATAGTTACCCCAACAATGCCCATCATTCCAGTGACGTCGTAGCGAGGTCGTCATGATTTATAGAGATATATAATTGATTGTAGTTCTATGGGGCTTAACCAGTCAAGAATAGAGCTATCATGGGATATATATGTTTGTTTACCCTGGGTTCATGTTCAACTGCAAGCCTATATATATATTTGTCCTATATTCAGTGGGATTTTCAGGATCCTAAAATGGAGGTACTGTACCATATAAGGCAATATTTTGCTGGGATATTCCCTTACATAGGTCTTATATATGGAATCGGTACCTCCAATTTGGGTTCCTGTTGCAGCAAGCCATTGATTTTTGTGATTCCATGGCCATGTTCGAAAAGATCGCGTTCTTCCAAGGCTAGGTACCAAGATGTACCAAGGCACATGTTGGCAGATGTGCCCATCTTGAACAATGGCACTACTCCGGCCTGGGCCATGGCGGCACTGGAATCACTGGAATCACTGAAAAACAATGGCCCTGGATGGCACATCGGAGAGTCCCATATTCAAGAATGACAAACAACACATGTGTATGTGTATGCACATATATATAATATATATATGCATACACATGTGTCAGGGAAATCATGATGATGATAGTGATAATGATGATAATGAGGATGGCATGTAGTCATGATATGTCATGATGATAATAAGCATGATGACAGTCATGGTGATTATCACCATCGTCATCGCCATCGTCGCTTGTCATCGTCGTCATCGTCATCATCATCATCATCAGCACATTGACATCGTATTTCATATACTTACTACTATCATCCTTATTGTAATCAATCTTGCACACGACACCATTGCTCATTTTTCTCTTTCTCATCAATGTCAACAGTGTTCGTCTGAAAATAGGGCACCCCCAAATAGACTGAAACAAATCATCATTTTCCTAATCAACAATGCCATAACTGGGCGGTAAAACCCATGTTCAGTAAAATTGGTGTATCTAGACGGCATTCTTAGGGATTTTGAAAATCCCCGAAAATGATGATTGGTCAATTTTCAGAATGGTGTAGGAGATATAGCTAAGTAATTTTCAGTAAAACCATTACCCTCTGGTAAACTAACATAACTATAGAAAATCACCATTTTAGACGCTGTCTATACAGGCCGCCATCTGGTCTTGCGCAGCCGTTGAAACGTGGCCATTACATTGGGAAAAAACAACGTGCTAGACCGATAGACAGCGAACACATATACACAAATGAAGTAGCAGGTAACATGTGTTCATAGGTTAGCATTGCACAAGCACGTTTCGTTCCAAGGTCTGTATACATACGAGTTATCATGGCCCCCATTCAGTGCTATTCCAATACAAACACAATACATGCACATTGGTGGACGAAACGTGTTCAGTGTTTGAAACAACAAATACACAATGTGTTGTGGTCTGTTCATGCGCACCATGAGGGCATGCCGGCCTGGGCTATCTCTGCTACAGCTGCCCCCCCATGCATTCTGCGTTATTCCAATATACATGTGGTGCAATAATTCCCCATCCGGACTGCCTCGATGCAATCATCAACGGCAGCCCAGAAAAGGAATTTTAAAACATCACTGCTTGCACCATGGGGGGGCAGCTTTGGTTAACTGCAGCCTTGCATCATTCCACTTTAGATAGCCATACACTCAGAAAGTTTGACCCACAACATGCAGTCCTTTATCATTGATCATGATGATTGAACAGCTGCAGTTATCGCCAAGCCCGTGCGCACTCAGTGCCATGAGGAGGCTGCAGGCGCTGGCAAAGGAGTGTCCCTCTCCTCCAACTCCAGGGTCTACGCCCACAGCGGGGAGTCCTGCACCTGGTACCAACAGACCACCACATAGACGTAGTTGGCTGTCGTCTCCACAAATGGCCTATCTTCATCGCCCACCAACTGGGACACCACCACTGGCCACCATGTGCCTCCTCCAGTTCCTTCCATTCCTCCAGCTCCAGTGGCATTGTGGTCCTCCTCATCATGTGTCCTGTCCTCCGGGATATCGTGCCAGAACTGCAAATGGGCCATCTATACCATAGCTATGTTAGTTTACCAGAGGTAATTAACACTGTTAGCTATATTTCCTCCCTAATCCTGGTGTATTCCCCCCCAAAAAAACAACTGAATTCCCAGTGACTTTAGTGGTTCAAACCCACATGTTGATGGTTAAAGCCCTTAGGAAACACTGTTAAATCCCCATGGTATGTGAATGTTAGTGGTATATCCCATTCTATTCCCATTCTAATCACTATTATTTACCAATATGATAGCCAGCATTCTTTTCTGGGAACCACCGAGTTTCCAACACCATTTCCAACACTTTTTCGCCGCACCTGGATCGCATTCTCTGGTAAAACATGCTCAACCTGGAAGCCGTCGGGGCAAAAAAGAGAGATGTGCGAGTCCAATGGGGACATCGTGTGGATATAATTTGCGTAATTTGCGTATATATATAGATTTTTGAGCTATAACCAACAAAGATGGTGATTCAAGGTGTTTAATATGATTTAATGGAATACGATTGCATATATACTTGGTGGCTCATCCCACTTAGTAAGTAGGTTATAACCCTAGTTATAAGTGGATTAACCCTACATATCCCATTTACAACCAGGGATATAACCTACTTACTAAGTGGGATGAACCACTAAGTATATATATAATATAATATATATATATAATTATATATATATGACCCTACTCAGGGGTGCAGGTGGGGTGATTCTATATGGGCAGGTTTTCCATGGGATCCCCAGCTCCCGAAGTTTTTCGGATGTTTTACCCCCATAAATTGAACATAGTACCCTCTGGTTATTTTCACGTCGCTATTGAAAATGACCATTTATAGTGGATTTTCCCATTAAAAATGGTGATTTTCCATAGTTATGTTAAATTACTAGAGGGTAATCAAGGTCATACCAGCCCATTTGAAGTGTGATATCAATGGCACAACCTCACATATCTTGCGATACATAAACCAACATAAACCACACCAGCCCATTTTCAGGTGATATCTATACAGGAATGATGATAATGGTGGTTGTAATTAACGGAGAAATAATCAACAAAATCTAAGCATAAAAAACACACACACATAGAGACTACAATGGCATATATAGTGGGGAGAATGGAAATTATCCATCAACAATGTGGATTAGTATGGATCAACCAGCTGTTTGGATGCGTATGGAAAAGTGATGATCGAACCGCGAATGTGTTTTTTCTTGAGAAAACGACTTGATCTTGGGGTTGTTCATTGAATCATTCCTTGGGGTTTTGATGGGTATAGCTATAGGATATATTCAGTTCAACAAAACATGAACACATCTGCGCAGCCAAGGTAAACCTTCCGTGACTACTTGGATGTGGGCGACCACTTAGGATCTGTGGTTTATAATCAATGATATAACCTAACCCATATTTCATCCCATATATAGACTGGTTGGTGGTTTTAACCATCTTGAAAAATATGAAAGTCAGTTGGGAAGGATTATCCTATATATTATGGAACATAAAAAATGTTTGAAACCACCAACCAGTATACATATATATATACATACATAGGATATTTCATTGATCTAACTGGTTTGTTTTCCACCCATCATGGGGAGTGTAATCGTAGAAAAGTGGTTTAGAATCCACTCATCTAACCAGTTTATAATCCATATATCACCCATTAATCTAACAGGGGGTATAACCCATAAGACGAAGTGCGGCCCGCATTCCCCAATGTCTATGGAGCAAAAAACGTCCAAGCAGCAGGAAAGCTCGTGAGTCCACATTGTGTGGTCCATGCCATCAACACGACCTGAGTCCATCATAAACGGCTTTGGTTTTGAGGCTGGCCAGGCATCGCAAGTGATTTTTTTTCAGCCATCAGAAATGGGGAAGAATGGTGAAAACGAGCGCATGAAACCTGGGGAGAAATATGGAGGTTTACCCTCTGGTGATTTTTCAATCTATGGTGAGATAAGCTTCATAAGTTGGGATTTCACATGAAATTAACCTGATATAAGCCCAACATTACTATGGCCATATGAGAATACAATGGGAATATCATGGGAAGTGAAAGAGCCTCAGGCCGAGTCCACGAGGTTCAGAAAACATTCCTGGAAGCTTTGCGCTTCATTTCAAATGCCCTACTTGGTGGTTCATCCCACTTAGTAAGTAGGTTATATCCCTGGTTTTAAGTGGGATAAGTAGGGTTAATCCACTTATAACTAGGGTTATAGCATGTTATAACCTACTTACTAAGTGGGATGAGCCACCAAGTAGTCCACAAGGTTGCATTCCAACTGCTTGTTCTCGGCAATCTGTTCGATGCTGGCCCAACTCCACACCTAAGTGAGAGACACATGACCTGGCATCGCCGCCACGAGGTGATTCTCTTGACCATTGCCATCGGTATTGGAAAGGCAAACAGGAACTACTTCAACCCCAAACCTAGGAGTTAGTTCTATTCTATGCAATTTTTTTAGAGGATTTATGGTGATTTACTGGTTGGTGGTTTTAACCATCTTGAAAAATATGAGTTTGTCAATGGGAAGGATGACATCCCATATATCATGGAAAATAATTCAAATGTTTGAAACCACCAAGCAGTTTACCTTTTATAAATGCTGATTTCCCAGTTCGCTACGTTTTTTTTACCAGAGGGCATCTTGCACCCATCGAAGCCAGGAAATCCAAGCAACACCAATGTTCTGCAATATGCACTATCTGCAATGCAAAAAA